GAAAGCCCGGCAGTGAGCATGTGACACACGACGATGGCACTAGGCGAAGCGTGTCGAAACTGACTGCGCAGTGCCTCTTGCAGTGACCGGCCAAGGCGCTTTTCGCGGAGGCGCAAAGCCTGTTCGCCCAAGTGGAAAAGGTGGCGGCCATCGTAGAAGATGTGGTCAATGAGCTGGTACATATCCTTTCGGGCACGATAAGGATCACTCAGGTGCTGCGAGGTAATCGTTCGCCAGCACTTGTGCCGAGTCCTCGCCCACCTTCTTGGGCTGTGCCGAAGCACTGCCCCGCATCTTCCACACCTCGGACGCCCCCACCAAAAACAGTGTCACACATTATCGCTACGAGTGCAGCTCCCAACGCCCATGCCCAGCATCTGCTCAAATGCATGTGAAAGACCGAAACAGGAGGATTCCACATGTCGCGCGTGCTGCTATAGAACTCTTCCCAGATGCTTCGCAGATCCTCAGACATCTGGCTCTCAAACTTCGACTTTAGGGAATCTTGGACATGAAAAACTGGCCAAGGAAGGCAAGAATCATTGTTGTGCATGAAGCTCTGCAGAGCATTTGCTTCTTCCGGGATAGGCACGCAACTGCCCTGACTCATTTCCTCAAGACTCAGGTTGGCCAGCAAACCATGAGGTTGTCAGCATGGAGGCTGCAGGTCTACGTGAAAAGTCACAAATACATCCCTCCATTGAACCTATTCAAACGCATCATGACCACAGCATAGACACATGCGCCCTGAGGGTTGCATGGTCATTTGCGAGCTTGAAGAACTCCAACTAAGAAAGAAGCAGGTGTTGCATGGTCCAAGAATAAGCTTACACGCCACAGTACGCAACTTGTATCTGCGGACACAGACAGCCACAGAAGTCTCAGAAAGCCGCGGGCATGCGCGTGTACCCAACGGCGGAAGGCGCGAGAACTGCGAGCATCTCTTGCACAGGCAGCTCTCGCCCACCCCAGGGACATGCGTGTCGTGTGCGTGTCGTGACACGTGTCTTCAATGAGCTTTAGTATCCTTGCTGTAACATATGGCTAGGCATGGCTTCGATAAGCTGTTGGGTTTTGAACCGGTGGTCAAGAAAGAGGAGGGTCTTTGCGAAAGAGCTGGGACAGGTGCAACTCAACGGTTTGCCCCAAGTTTCATATTCGTCCTGTCAATTCAATTGGTGGGCCTGTCTGCTGGCGGACTCTTTGCTGAGTGTCACGTCACGGACCGCTTCGGGGACTCGAGCCAGTGGAGGCTCAAGGTGCGTAAAAGTTGTGCGCTGCACTCACTTGAGCTTCGTCGAACAGCGAACAATACACGAACACGGAACTGTTGACGAACTCGTCAAACTCCAAAGCATCCCCATGCAGATGCTCGGTCCATGTGGCTTCGAGAAATCTCGCAAGTGTCATGCCAAGAGTCTGAATCGTCAAAGTCCAGCTCAGTGTTGGCATCCATGGACCTCATCCGAACAAGACGAAAAATTGATGACTCCCGACAGGGTCAACAAAACTCCTTCAAAGGTCTGCAGCTCAGCCGGGGTGCCAAATTTCGGGCAGCCCACTGCGACCCCAGCATTGGCCCAAGTGGTGCAGCTGCTGAATCCGCCGAACTTCGCTGTCCGTCCCGCTGGACCTGAATTCTGCAAGATGTCCCCAAGCATGGAGCGGTTCGAGCAATCTTGAGCCGAGGTGCAAGTGCGTGGTGCAGACGTAGAACTGCCTATGTCATGACGGCAAGGAAAATCTCGCAGCATGTGCGAAGAAGAGCAGAAAGTGCTTCTGCCAAGACGCTGTCGCCGAAGCCGCTCGTCCAACTCCTTGAACTGCAGGAGGACCCGCACTGCAGCCTGATCCGCCGTCGTAAATCCTGCACAGGGTCGTGTGAGGTAGGATTTGAACACTCTTTGTCTCTTGACCGCCTTTTTGGAAAAAATTGCACTCTGCGCATCCTGGGATCTCGGAGGCACCCTCTACGAAAGCATCGATGTCTGGATCTCCCGGCAAAGTCTGGAACTCCTCAGGCACTACTAGTGAGTCACTAGTGACTCACTAGCCTGCAGCTCATGTAGCTGCAGCTCCATATCAGGCTCTTTTGCAATCACAAATGAAAGGCTCACAGGCGACGAGCGGCAGGCTTGCCGACAATTTGAAAACGATCCGTTCGCCAGAAAATAGCTTGGCCGTCATCGTCCACTGGCCACGCGTCTTGCCCATAGAACTTCCTCGCTTCAGCGTTGTCATTTGCATCTTAAAAATTAGTCAATTTTGATGAAAACACCAGAGAGATTGAGGAGAGGCGACGATCCATTGCCGAGCCCTTTTGGCCATGCGGCGCTTTGATGCCAGATCCATCTGCAACACGCTTCTCCAGGAAATGGCGGGCCGTAGATTTGCCCTTCTTGAAGCCAGTCTTAGGAGCAAAGGCCCACGATGAAGAGGCGAGCTTTTCGCCTTAAGTCTGTTCTGCCATGCAGTCAGCATGCAATGTTCTACCCTTCTTGCAACTTCAGGCACTGATGCTGGCCCTCTGTCTCTTGCAACGGCATGCAAGCGCTTGTTGACTAAAGGGCGGGTCACTGTAGCTCGATCCGGGCCTGTCCTTGAGAGGCACGTAGGCTTCGGCATCGGGGCTGCTGCAGGAATAGCCGAGCTTCTGCAGCTCCTGGTAGAGGAAAGTGAAGCCAATCGGTCAACCAGAAAGCTCATGGGAGAACTTCATGTGAACACAAATGAACACAAAACTTCCCATCGTACGTCCATTCTGCACATGCTGTCCCTGCAAGATCTCTGCCGCAGGGCTTCTCGCACCCTCTACAAGCTGTGGCAATTTTCGGGACTCTCCATATGGAGCCGTTTTGTGCATCTTGCGGACTAGCATCGCCAAAGGTCAAAATGCTGCCAAAAGGATTCGTGCTGTACTAGTAGCACGACTGTATATTGTTGCACGATAATACAGCTATATGTATATATATATATATATATATAATGCTGTGGTTGTATTCGAGTGTGCGTCAATTCCAGCGCACATGCTCCAAACAGGCATGCGTCAGCGAGTTGAAAAGCTGTTCCGCGGTGCCTGGGAGAGGAAAGTGAAGTTGTCGAGCTCCTGGACATGCTCATGCCGACATATGCCGACTACCGTCTCCACTGTCTTAGTTCGGCAGTTCGGCCCATGACCTCGAAAGACCATGAATGGACCATATTCACCATGGCTCACTATGCATCATTAACACAAAAAAAGTGCTTGCACGTCGTCACAAATTTTGCAGTGTCCTGCAAGCAGATGATGTCGGGCTTGAGAAGGGCCACGAACCACACCTTCGAATGGGTAAGGTCAACCATGGCTCAGCGGAGACACAGGTCGAAGCGGCACCAGCCCAGCTACGTGCTGATAAAGTGCCACACGGAACAGGCGGTGCTCAGCGCCAACGATCGCCTTCTCGTTCACTGTCAGTTGACCGGTTCCCTTGCCATCTAAGTCTGGATTATACCTGCCAGGTCACCCAAGCGTTGCTTTGCCAGGGTGTTGCGATACACAAGAAAAAGCAGAACCACCGAGCAAAGTTGTGCCATCTTTGGCAAGCGTCATTTTCTTGAGTTCCAGGCCACGCTCTTCCTTTTCTGAGGGTGCCAGGCCCTTCATGGCCAGGACCATGTTGCAGGCCATGCGCGCGAACTCTTCCCAGGACCCTTCGGCACCGCCCTCGCCTCGGAGCCACACTCGGATCCCAAGCACCCCCATGGGAATTCTCTGCAGATACTGCGTGTGGAACTCTGTGTGGAACTCTGTGTGGGGTCCTGTGCCCTCGCAGGGATGCTCAGGAGCCAGCCCTCCCTCCAAACGAAGCTTCGGTATCCCTGGGAAGCTAGTCTTGCAGCATTCTGCAAGTCCTCCGGCCCGCTTTTGCGGAGCAGCTCCTCAAGATACATGTCCTTAGCTGATAAATCACCTCACTTCACAGCCTACTGTGAATGCGCATCTGCACGCCGCAGCTTCCATGATTTCAAGAACTTCCGTACTTCGTCGAGATTAAGCTGCACCAAGTCGCGGATCTCTCGACGTGCTTTTGACTTACAAGTGGCATCATGAAGCCTTCAGGGACAAGACCTTCAGCCAGGAGGTTCCATTGAAGAATTCTCCTGAGCAAGCGAGACAAGCAGACAAGCTCCCTGAGACTGCTGCGATGACATACATAATACTTGACTATCAGAATCTCGCACATATCAGAACGGTGTCGGCATACAGCTACACCCAAGCGGCAGGTTGTGCCCATTGAACCTCGACTCAACATGTCGTGAGCACTGGGTTGCCAAAATCTTCTGTTGAGGAGGCGCCACCGTGCTGTAATTGTGACTAGTCACGTTTCCGGCATGGCTTCCTTAAATGGCACCTCAATGGCAAGAAGATGGCAGAAATGCAGGTTGAATTCAGGACTTCAAAGCTGCAGGGAAAGGTTAAATGCCGGCTGGTGACAGCCGGGTCCAGCAGCGCGCTTCCTTCGAAGTGCTTGCGCCAGAGCTGCACCTTTGATATCTCGAATTTGCCGGATGTTTTGGGTGCTAAGCCACACACGCACAATGACAACTCATCTCAGGAGGAAGCCCAGTGAGCATCTTCCAGAAACTTTGCATGGACGCCATCTCGGTGCATTGCCTTGTATGCAACTTCCCTCATCCACTCCTTCTCTAGTAGGCCAGGCCAAGTCTGTTTTGTCTCGAAGTCCTTAATATCCCATGATCTTTAGTCTTAATCCTTCTGGCCTCTCGCACCAATTGCTTGTACTCATCGAGGCCAAGGGCTTTGGCGGGGGCAGTGGCGCTATTCGCGCTTGCCGCGCTTGCCATGGCTCCGAATCTACGCTGCACATGCTGGCAAGCGGCGGAACCGGGATTGGCACATGATGTGCCGCACATGGCCCAGTCATCCATGCACATCCGAAACTAAACGAGGCACGAAGCTAGGAGTATCCTTCGCGGTGCACGGTGCGCCGCATCAAGGCCTGCTTGAACACTCCGATGGTGCACCCGATCATGGTCGGGACAAGCTTCTGCACACTTTCATCATAGACCTGAGCTCAAAAAGACGGCTTCCAGGCCTCGGCAGACTCTAGACGTCCAAGCTCCCGACTGCGAAAAAATACTTCGAAATCACATCGAAGATGTGCTTGATGGAGACCTGCCAAGCCCACGCACACCTTGTCAAGTGAGATTCAAGTCCGCGGATCATCTGGCTGCACGCCCTCCTGACTCTCCCTAGCTACAAAGAGCAAGACCAGAATGGCTTATGAATTGAGTTCCTGCTGCTTTGATGTATGTGCCAACGACCCTCCAGCCTTTGAGCCTCAAATATCTGTGCATATATATATATATGTATGTGTGCAGATGTGCATATACAAGTCATATACATCATATGTCATCGAGGCCGGTCTGAGTTCAGGAAAAGCCCGAAGCTGCACCAAGGCAGGCGAGGATTCCAACAGGCCGGACGAACATCCGACAGGTCAGAGTACGCCGTCCTTGCGACCCCCGTTGTGCCAAGGGTCCCAACACATTCCCACACATACCCACACCTAGAATCTAGAAACTATTCTTGGCCCAGGGCGTGCTGTAGTGTCGCTTCAATCCTAAGCTCAAGCAGGGCAGCCTCTGTTCTCTCTTTGCTTTGTGAGGCAGATGACGGGGTCAGTTTGCATCCGAACTGCGCTCAGTAATGAATGTTCGTCCACCTCCCGGAGGTCCCATGGCCGAAACCATGACAACATCGATGATGTTGAACCTGGGGCGACCGAACACCAGACCATGAAACCGCCCTCATGCTTCGAAGCTTGATGTGCGGGCATGCTGAATCATGCTGAATCATGCTGAGCCACAAAGTCACGTCATGGACTATGAAACACATAAATAGAACTTGTATGAGATGTGTACACCACCCTTCCCCAGACAAAATACTATCTGCATTGTCTAGTGGTTTGTGATGTGAGTTCGTTGCAGGCGAGCATTTTTGCGCTTCATGACAGCTTTTGGCTGGCGAGAAGAGAAAATCTCAAGAGAACAGCAATCCTTGGTTCGCATCGAACCTTCCAGGACGTACGCCGGCTAACCTCTATCTCCTAGGGAATGGGGGGATAGAGGTTAGAGGGGTAGGAGGATGGGTTTGGGAGGGAGGGGGGGGTTAGACAGATAGATAGATAGATAGGGGGTAGATAGATAGATAGACTAGGCGGTCGACGGACCTGGACCCGGACGGGGGGGGGGGGGGGGGTTAGATAGATAGATAGATAGACAGACGGGTAAAATAATATGGGGGGGAGGGGTTCGATGGGTTGTAGACAGATAGATAAATAGACGGAGAGAAGGGCGGGGGGAAGGGGGGGGGGGGTTAGATAGATAGATAGATAGACGGCTCCCGTAAAATTTTAAGCCGGGGGGGCGATAGATAGTGGGGGGGGGGGATAGATAGACGGGCGGCTGGGAGGGGGCAGAGGGGGGGGGGGGGGTTAGATAGATAGATAGATAGACGGGCTCCCGTAAAATAAAGCCAAGGGGGGGGGGGGGGGGGGGGGTGGATAGAGGGCTCCCGTAAAATTTTAAGCCAAGTGGCGGGCGGGGGGGGGGGTCAGATAGATAGATAGACAGACTCCCGTAAAAATTTAAGCCGGGGGGGGGGGGTGGATAGATAGATAGATAGTACCTGACGGGTGGACCCTGGCAACCTCTATCCTCTAACCAGCATGTATCCGACAGAGGTTAGAGGATAGAGGTAGGGGGGGTACATAATGGAACCTTCAAGACTATTGTAACACTACGCCACTACGTGTTAAAGATATCGGTGTTTTCACTCAGAATGGAACATCGCGAGGAATCGCCAAAGCAATATTCAATAGGGGTTGAAAAGGGAAGTGATGAGGCGACAGGTAAGCTAAAGATCGCAGCAAGTCTACGGTTTGTGAAGCTTCCAGAAAATGTGGGCAATCTCCCGGAAAAGTCACAAGCATGGAGAGCAGCTGCATGCGAAGTGATGGGCCTCTGATCGGACACTCAAAGTTATCGTGGAAAACCATTATTTGCAACAGGCTTTCGAGGGTATAGTATACATATGAAATGATAGGAAATGTCACGGTAGGTGGACAGGCTTTCTTAGATTGGCGTTAGAAAGCACTGCGGAACTTTCTGCAGGGTCTTCAGACATGCTCCAGGCATCTGCTCAAACTCCTGAGGCCTGTGCTTGACCAGCTCCTTGCGGTTGTACCAACCTCCATGATCATGCCACTGCCGGATGAGCTCGATCGGGGGCTGTGCACCGTAATACTCCTTCACACGCCACTCCACACCACGGCAAGACTCAGCCAACCTGGTCACTTCATCCCGTCCTTCAGAGGCATGTTCAGATCCTGCGGTCGAGGGGGCTGCGCTGAGACATCGCCGTTTTGCTGGTGCCCTCGCACGGCATGCCGGGGCACTGGCATCGATGAACAGCACCTCAGCCACACTGGGAGAGTCAAGCTCTGACACGCCCTGGCGCGCCCTGAGGCTCCCTGGCACGCCCTGAGGCTCCCTGAGGCTCCAACCATCTTCTTCCCTGCAGGAGGGCCGTACACGCCACGTCGCCGCCTCGGGCATGAGTTGCCATGGTCGTCGCGCTTGCCGTGTCTCCGGCTGTCTCCCCATGTCTTCTCACCTCTCCCCCGTGCCCGTGTCCCATAAACACTGCAACATTGACCGATTCCACATGAACCTGCAATCACAACTGCATGTTGGCTCCGGGCTTTTCGAGCTTTGAGTCGATCAGGTCTTGCAGCTGGTTTACATGCGTTTGGGCCTCGGCAGCCCAGGTGGTGCATGAGCGTGCGCTCTTGATGCGTGCGGCTGGGTGCCCCGACTGAGAAGTTAATGAAGACACCTTAAGAGAGGGAGACTGCTCGGTTCAAGAGTGCAACTCGGGATTACGTGATTGTGGCATGGGGCCCCAGCTTCATGCGTCGTTTGTGTGACGTTTGTGAGAGGGCACGCTTGTTTGCACAAAGGCACGAGTAAACTGCTCGGATAGAAAAGAACACTCGGGCAAGTCGCACATGCCTCGGAGCTGTTGGACCGAGGCGACCGAAACGTCAGAGTCATGCAGCACAGCACCAGCAGAGTCGACAACACTTCCATCAACAACAGCGCGAGGTCAGCAATATGACTGAATTCGAAATATTCGAACAATCCCCCAGAAGTCTGGGGGCGCCGCCTTGATAATTTTCGGGCGCCTGCAATCGCAAAGACGTACACCAAAGAGAATGCATATGGCCTGCGACCCCGAAGTGTGCCCGGCTTCTTCAGCACTGCGGGCGCCTGCTTCTGAAGCCACAGCGAGATGTTGACACTCTTTCCGGTGCCAGTGGGCCTGAAGCTGTCTTCTCAGCGTCAGCAGCGACTGCGTGTACACTGTACAGGAATGTGCGACGACTGCCGGCTACTACAGTACACGTATAGCCGTCCCCCTTCCATTCGGTCTGCCGGCCCAGGACAAAGAACATGCTTGTCGTTGAGCACCAGGAGTTGGAAAAGGTAGACCAAACGAACCTGAATCGTCGCTTCTTCTACACTACAGGTGGTGAGTGAAACAGATACTGAACCAATAGTCTGATGCAGCACGCCCCAACGAAAGGCTTTCCTTGTTGTCCCCTCACTCTCGTGGATGTTGCGTGAAGTCATCAAACTCCACATGGCCAGGTGATGGCCGAGCTTGTTCACGGACAGGACTAGGGTACTACTAGAGTACTGCTAGAGTACTACTAGACGGCTACTAGAGTACTAGTAGCTTAGCAGAGTATGCAAAACACACGGTTTGTGAAACATATTAACGGCATGCGTTTGAGGTTCCGGATCTCATCTAGGCAAGGGTTCCCATGTCCGTCGTGTAATGTCAAAAATAACGCTTTCTGTCCTGTCGCTGTGGCTCTTGCTGCCAGTCCTCGCTGCGCAGTGCCTACTGCAATGTGGCAATGCCCGTTCCATGGCGGGAAGGCGATTTGTGGGTGGGCAAGAGGATGGCCGAGAAGGAAGCTCGAGGTACATGTGAGAATCGAGGAGGCCAAACGACTGAGGAGTCATAAACAGGCCGTTTCTAGAGTGCCTACAAGAACAGCCAACAGCGAACAGAATCTAAGATGTTCAAGACTTTGCCTAAGAAGCCATTGCAGCATGTTTCGTCTGTTCCTTCACACAAACATCAAAGCCACAACAGTGATGAGAGTCTGACCGAGTCGACAGAAGGTACCACAATCTCTTCGTACTTGGCTCCACGAGGGACCTTCAGCACAATAAGAGAAGCAGCGCACGCAGCAAAGCAGCCATGCCGTCCCAAAACAATATCGTGGACTGCAGCTGTGGCAGGCCTCGAACTTGGGGATAGTGGTCATCCAAGGTACGAACTCCCTCTTTTCCTGCGGTTGCAAGATGCAAGACTACACCGAAGTTTTCCGAAGTCACCTCTTGAGGGTCGTCCGTCGTGCCCAATGCAGAAGAAATGCATGTACATGCCTGGTCGAAGAAGTAATCGTAAAGCATGTCACCCGGCTCGATGCCAGGCAACTGTGCGTCTGGCTGCACTGGCGGAGCCTCTCGCTGGACCACCGGGAAGCGCACGTGATGTGAACAGGGGAGTTGAGCTGGGATGTGGGCGGAGAGGAAAGCTTTCTCCAGCTCCTCGAGGACCGGTGGCCGCAAGTCTTCACTCACAGTGGCCCAGACCTTGGCATCGTGCAAATTTTTTACAGAGAATCCGGCGCAATGCATACTATGCAACAGCCAGCCATTGTAGGCCACCGACCAAGTCGCTGAAGCCCTTGCGGCTCTTGGCATCGCATGTGGCTCCGATGGACCAGATCAGGCAGAAGAAGAAGAGCGGGACCAAGTTAGGCACCTCGGGTGTACATGCACAGCCTAAGGAAATCTAAGGCCAAGCTGGTTCTGTAGACTTATGCACAGACACTCAGCAGTCCTTCACAAGGTTTGGACTGAGGTAGCGACAAGCCTCGGGCAGACACGTGATACAGGAACTGAAATTGGTAGCAAAGCGAGAAATAGCAGCCAATGCAGGCGAGCGGCTCTGCAATGGCATCTTTGAACGATGCCGCAGGCTTCAGCTCGGTCGGCTGGAAATTGACGAAATAGCAATCCATGAGCCTGAACAAAGCCTGTCCGACAAGTGTCACCAGTCATTTGGAGCTTCGGCACGTCGATGCATGCCAAATGAGGTGGGTCAAGCTTGGAATTGCGCAGCATGTCTACATCTGATGCCTGGATTGAGTTGTTGTCTGTGGTCGTGACCTCGGCAACTAAAGATGTCCAGCAGAAGCAACCCAGAGCACTTGAACACACTGCAGGCGGGTTGAGTTGCGAGCACATCGCACGGTCTTCTTGTTCACCTATCGATGGATGCGGGGAAGAGGAGGAGGCAGACAGAGAGAGAGAGAGAGAGAGAGAGTGAGAGAGAGAGAGATGGTTGCTCCACGAGCGGTGCAGGCAAGCAGCATAGGCAATGCAAGGAGGCACCACTTCCTCAAGCAACCTTCGCAGTGTCTGCGCCTTGCCACGACGGGGAGCTCCGCAAGATCTTGCGAGTCTTTCTGGTGTTATGCTTGCATAATGGGCTCGCGGCGAGGATTGGCTTGAAGGAAAACGTCTCAGGCAAGGCCTAATAAGTGCCATTCACCACGTTTTTGCGGCAAATTAGTCCGGAATGTGGAACTGCGGAACTCTTGCCTCGAGCCATGAATCGAAGAAAGGCTGATAGCCGAGACCTGGGACATGCTCAAACGAATGTTAAGGATTGTGTTTCGAGTTTTCCTTCATATGACTCACATAAGACATGGTTTTTTGCCACCTTTTTACAATGATCAACAGCTTCGTTTTTGCTTTGGCCAAACCTCCCAGCCCGCGAATCCAAACACTGGCTTCACTGAACATGCATGCAGTGGCTAACACTTGGGCAGGCCTGAACTGGTACATGAAAGCAGAGGCCCTCGAAAGCCAAGAACAAGGCCAACATGTCAAAGCCTATAGAAGCCACAAATCCGAACAGCTGCCCGGAAAACCACCGATTCCCAGCACAAGGACTTCATGCGGAGTTATGCAGGTTCCAGACTTTCGGGCTCCATGTAGATCATCCCACAGCGAGACACGGTTGCTGGCCTTGCAGTGGCAACAACATCCTTGCTAATTACGGAGATTACATTGTGAGGGACACCGTTTGCGCAACGCAGATTCGCAGGTTCGAGGAAGTGCAGGCAGGCTACGATGCCACTTCCAGATCCTCCACCTCGAACTGCATCCGCATTTTGGCGGTCAATGCCTCAGTGCCCCAAGCCCCAGAGTCACCTAGCTACCACTAGGAAACATCACGTTCAAACCAAGTCTATGTGAATGTTGGAACTGCGGCGACGATCCGCACGATGATTCATGAGTCGTCCTGATTATCCTGACTGTTTCTGGAAGCACTGCCTCCATTATGCTGAAATTATTCAACCAAAAGCAAAGCAACAAACCACTTCATGGTTTGCACTCGTGGCTTTTTTGCCACCTGCATGACCGACCGGACTTTTGCCACATAAGCAGACCAGCCGCACTACAAAAATTTCGGGCAGTCAAACATCCAACAGCCCCGCGAGCTTCGGGGCTCAGGGTTTGCAATCTTTCAGGGTTCAGTTGGGGTTGCCCCGACCAGATTACTTACAATTCCGAGCTATCTGAACTCGGCGGCAAGGATCAACAAACCCAGCAATAAACAAACTCAATAGTATCCGACTGAAGTTTCACGACTTCGACGCCACTTTCGCATTGGTGTCTTCGTTTGAGGTTTCGATTCTCACTTCTCGGACCAAGATCTTCGTGGATTTCAGGGTTGGTCGGAACTAGGTTGTAATTCGGATGGTCCACAAAGGACCTTAGAGCCTTAGGGCCTTAGGGTGTCTTGCGTTGTCGCCCGGGCTTGAACGTGTTTCGTACGACAGGTTCTTATGTGATCTGGCCGCGTCTACAGCGCGACTGCTGGCGTAACGTCACGAAACAGGATTTCCCTGTGCCTGCTGTACCTTCTACAGTCCACGCCTTACCTTACACACGCCCTCACTCCGTACATCAACTCAGAATACACATGTCATAGAAATCCAGGTAGGCCTCGCAGCTCACAGGACCCGAAAGACGAAAGCACAACTCTCGCACATGCCCACAATAGACGTCTGAATGTTCAACGCACCCACATGCACGATTGTATGCTTGGCATGCACACTTCCGGGCCAAACGCCTTCTTGTTACTGCACAAAGAGGAACGACAGTTGAGGCCAGCACGACCAGCGTTCACGCGGGAGTGTAGCAGCAATCGAGATTCGAGATATGGAAACAGAGCAATAAGTTAGCCACGAGCAATGACCAGTCCTTTTTTAGTGACGAGCAATGACCAGTCCTTTTTTAATGACGTTCACGACTAGCCACAACGACCAGATGACCGGTTCTGCTACACGGTGCATGCCTCTCGAAATCTTGACGATGTTTCTGCAGACTGGGGTGAAAGCAATAATTTCGCCGCTTACAAGGCAGAGCTTCTTGTTGTCGTCCAAGACAGTGTTCATGCCTCCAAGTCTGGAAGCACGTGCATCATGCAGAGAGGCAGTTAAACGGCAGTTGGTGACAGTTAGTGGCAATGGTAAGTTCGCAGCTCTCGATCCACAAGGCATCCACAGGCCCGTCAAACATAACCCAGTGATGGTCCTCACCAAGGCCAAGGAATCCAAGAGAGATTATGCAGCGAATGGGATGCTACGCCTCTTGGCGCATTGTAACAGCACAGACAAAGTAAGAGGCGATCCGGATTGTGGTTGTCGCGCGTGGCGTTGCGGATAAGCTCCGCAGCCACTCCGTCTGACCACTCTCGGGTCACCTTGCAAGCTCGGCGAGCGCTGCCCGAACTTTGTCGAGTCCTGCAACTTGGCCTCGTCAAATGCCCCATAGAGCTGGTTCTGCGTAATTGCCTGCGCACGAGCCATTCCATACTTGCAATGCCCAACGTCCTGTGGCATCTGTCATCAAGATCTGTCCTTGGGGTTGAGCACGTGCACGTGCGTCTTCTGGAAAGGGGACTCCCCATCCTGCAAAATCCAGACTACCCTCAACTGATCGGCTTCTGCAGCCTGAGCCAGCGGGCCTTCGGATCAACCAAAGCTGTGCAAGCTGCCTGCGACAGCACGTCTGGTGGCATGGGTGAGTCAGAATGTGCGGGGCACGGCATACTGACGGAATGCATATGTGCCACTTACGTCATATGTCCTAAACTTGGCCTGCAGTGTGCGATAGCAGCAAGTCTTGCCACCACCGGTTGGCCCAACCAGCATCATGCCATGTCGAACCTCGAGAGAATAGGCATAGTATCATAGGCGTAGGAAGTACTTGGGCGTAGTTGGTCGCGTCAACGAGTCAAGGCTTGCAAGGCACATATCCAACATGTCAATGACAAATGCATCCTGCCTGGATCATGTCAAAGAGCTCAAACTGCTTCTTGATGAAGTAGTCGGTGGGCTGCCTAAGCTCATGGAGAAAGACAACGATCAGGCAACAACATGCATTTACGCGCCACTGCCCATGAGTTCCTTCTTTTGTTGGGGTGGGGGGGGGGGTCGGGCCGCGCCGTCAACACAACAACAGGGTCCAACATAACAAGCACAACACGTTTGCAAGTTCACACCAATCGCTCTCCAAGATGCAAGTTGGTCTGCTTGGACTTCTCCCTGGCCATCTCGTCAAGCTTCCCGTAATCAATTGCAGGCCTTACGGATGACGAACATGCCTGTGCCTTCCAATTTTTCCCTGTTAAGCCGAGATCAACTCACATGAGGCGCACACTTTTCCACACCTGGGAAAAGATCTGAGATGATGTTGTAGAATAGAGGCAGGTCATCTTTCAAGAATTTGGGCACCTTCAGACGAACTGGTCGGTGCTGTCTATTGAAGCAACCCACCGCGCTCACACTCGAGCGTACCCAAAATTAGCAGGCAAAGTTAGGCACATTGACGTCTTGCAGCGCTCGGAGAAGGATTTGGCCTTCGCTCTGGTCCTGTCGCTTATATAGATATAATGCACAAATCTAAATATCGAAAAGGCATCACAAGCATTGTTGAGCACCAGGCTGGATACTTCCGCTTGTTCAGGCCAGCAGCTTCAATGACAGTTTTGACCTAAAGCACACATCCATTGGTTTTTACAGTGTCTATCGGACAATAACCTGGGGGAAAGTCCGTAATCCTGAAAATTTGGGCCGCCCCACGGCTCGCATGCCATAGTCGTAGTGGCTTTGTGCTGAAAGCTGCTCGCTGCAGAGTTGGAACGTTGTGACCTCCGGATCTGGAAAGGCTTTTCGCATGGCGACATGCTGGCATTGCTCTCATTTCTGGGCCAGAACTGAACTTAACACGCTCCGAGATTGTGGCCATCTTCTTGGCCAAATGTCGCCCCTTCTCGAAGCCAAAAGCATAGAAGCTGATTTCACCTGGGTGACAGTCACAGGAGAGATGGTGCTTCGCGATGCGCGCCGAAACCCTAAAACCAACAGGCAAGCCACCGATCATGGCATAGTCAGGAACCATCATGGCCTGGCAATGTAGCACCAGCCGCTTGTCTGCTTAAGCCATTGAGTTGCATGGGCTAAGGTGCGCACCATCGGGCGAAACAAGGCCGCCAAGTTGTCGGGAAGCTCACTTCGCCCTGCCTTGTGTGCACAGGACCCAAATGGCCGTTGCCAGCCACGAAGCCGAGGCCCTTTAAGCCTTTGCGTCATGCGAGGCTGAGCGCCAGACATATCCGGGGTTCATGGTGATGAAGACCTGTGACCCCACAAACTCGACCAAACTTACAAGGAGATCTGCAAGGCTTAACCATGTGCATGTTCCGGTGTTCGTCACGAGCATCATGCAGATTTCACGAATCATAGGCTCTCGCATTGAACGTGGGGCGCATCATGATCAAAGTGGAGTCAAACTCCAGCTCAACAGAGTCCTGAGCTGAAAACTTCGCTGATTCGAAGGCATGTACTGGTTGCAGCCAGCCGAGGAGCATTGTAGGAGGTTAGCTCTCGCTTTGCACTGAAAAGCTGAAGGAGCTGTTGTGCAATGACGCTCAGCACCTAGGCGGGAGCAGTCCAAGATTCACAGGACAGAGCTGCGCGAAAGCACATGCGCAATGCCTCGATATAGATGCGGTTGAACTCGTCGAAGCAGCACCAGGCACCGCTGGATGCCAAGCCCTTGAAGAACTTGCCAACCTCCATTGGGGCTACACTATGCTACACTGACGGGCGAGACCTAAGCGAGACTTCAATCGGCGCACCATGAGGTAATCCATTTCGGGGGAGCAGTTGAAGACGACACACCTGACGAAGCATACAGCACGAGATGGCTGAAGTGCCTTCCCACGGCAAAGGACCAGGGAATAGCCTGTCTTACAGTTCATGCATTTTTTCTTCCGGTGCATGGTGCATCTGTACAATGTCGCGCCTTGGCGTGCAAAGCTGCCTTTCTGCTCAGTTCTTAGACCGCTGCAGAGCCCGGCCATTTTGCCGACACTTCTTGCCATGTCCAGAAGAACTGACATCCGAGATCGAATATTTCAAGGCCCGCTTATCGTAGCCGGACACCTTCGATTTGAAATCCTTGTCGCCGCGAAGTCGTGGTGATGCAAACTTCATTGCGCGCCAGTTTCTCGAAATCGCGGCCAGAACAACATCCGCGTCGTCTTGTAAGGCTGCGGAGGCATGAGCTAAAGCCAAAGGATCCTTTGCAATGGCAGCTACGACAACGTGCCGGTCATCCCGAAGGTGAGCAGCTGCAAGCTGCAGAGATCGCCCGCTTTGTGACACAGCTGCCAAAACGATGGCCTTGTCCTGCATCCGATTCTTGCTTGCGTACTGCAGAGCTCCACCTTCCTGTTTGACTGCCGCCAAGACAATTTGCGGATCATCTCTGTAGGTTTTAGGGACAAACTGAAGGGCAAGGCCTCGGCATGTCACAGCAGCAAGCACCAAAGTGCGACTGCAGCTGGCAAATGCCATGGCGGCCGGATTCTCATCCACTGCAGCCAGTACGATCTCCTCATCTGACTTGTAGGGATGGGGAAGGTGTGAAAGCAACAACCCATTGCTCTCGACAACCGTACGCACGAAGTGACGGTCTTGCTGCAGTTCCACCGGCGCTTCTGTGAAGCAGCTAACTCCAGTGCGTATGTTGTCAATAGTTCTGGCCCAAAGAGCCTCCAAGCGGACCAAAAGTAAGTCCAGGTCTGGTATATCTGGGCACGAAGCGGCGTCCTCCGCGCGGTGTCTCAACTTCTCCAACTCGAGGCTGTTCCTTAAGGGTGATGGGCAAGTCTGCAACAACAGGCTCTGCTCCAGGGCTGGAATGTCGAGTTTTTGCTCCAGCTCCTGCTTGACATGGCGGACTTGCCAAGACGAAGAAGCGGGAATGGATAATAATTCCTCGCCAGCAAGGTTGCGGACTGTGACAACAAGCTCAGGAGGCACCGGGGCGTCGCCGCCCCCAACCTCGGACAGTCGACATCGCTTCACCGTGGAAGTGCGGTAGCAGCCCGTGCTGCGGGCAGAGGGCACTTTCTGCCACTAACACCCCAAAATCTGAGTGTCGCAGCTTCGGAGAAAAGACAGACAAAGCTTCGCAAAACTATGGTCATGGCCCTCAATGATTCAGGCATTCCCCTCACAGCTCTTTCTATCTGTGTCCCGAAGCTCCCAGGCCCCTGCTGTTTGGCCAATGCTTTCGCTAGATCCTTTGTTGTCTCCGTCTTGCCAGTTCCGGCCTGAGGTGATTGTCTCGAATCAACACTTTTATTGCACTCGCCAGAACGGCTGAGCTCAGGTGTGGGCAGGTCCTGCAGGGGCACCTCCCAAATTCAGGCCTCAGCCAAAAACAGCTTAAACTGTCACTGACCCTCAACCGACTCAACCTCAAGGTGTTTGTTGGAGTGACCCTGGGCAGCTGACTCTGGGCGCCCATTAAAGTCATGTAGCACCTACGTGCAGCATGTATCCCAGCAGGATGACAAGATAGAAGACACTTCAGATGCTCACATGTCGGTGAGGGGAGTGATCACCAGCCGGAAGGAGTTTCCCAAGTACTCGTAGCCTTGGCGATCCCACCAATCGACCATCTGGCCATGAAGGTGTTGACCACAGGTTGCATGCGCCTCTGCCGAACAAACTGACTCCTTCCGGCTCGGCTTGCTGCCATAAGGAAATGGCGTCTGCACCATGCGGACCTAAAGGGTGTGCCACCAAGACAACATAAGCCAGCTGCCAGGAGTTGTGAGCAATATGCGCATCGTTTAAGCAGTTCCCTGCTCTGAGCTGGCAGCCCACATATTCTCCTTAGCAAGCAAGATGCTTGAAAGCATGACACGGAGTTGAGCTCGTTAGACTTCGACAAGGTTACCCAGCTTCGACATGTTCAGTAACTAGATGGCATCAGGCTTCGGAGTTGCGATCGTCCATCTCCCAGTAATAGCGCAGCTGTGAAATCCACTCGAAGGACCTTGGCTCGTGCATTGCGGGAGTCTCTGCGTCAAAGTGTTTTTGTAGGAGTCGGGCATGCAATCGTCAATCTTCTCCTTTGCAAGCTTTTCCACTGTGTCCTGCCAGTCACGAGCTTGCATGATCATGCAGAGACATCCCGGTTCAGCTTTCCTTCGCGTGCACGTCAATGACCACTAGTGCGCCAATGCTCATCCTGCCGATACCGCTTTTGATGCGTGCAAGCCAGCGCATCGTTTTTGGTCTTCAACTTCAGCCACAGCCACACGAACGGACGCAGCTACGGCACGGTGTGACTATCACAGGCACATAGCCTCTGCAGCTTCGTGATGTCACCGCGAACGAGCCGTACCTGAGGTTGACTCGTGACTTGGCACAGGCTTGTTGCAGTAGACTATAAGCAGCCGCAAGCAGCCGTTTGCACGCAGCAGAGCGATTTGACACGGATCTCCGAGGAGCTGGCCAAGTCCAGCAATTGTTCGCTCAACCGCGTGAAGTACTCTGCAACCGTCCCGCCTGGATTGAGTGGGGAGTCAAGAGAGACCCTTCTTGTGTGCTCTACGCCCCTGCCTTTGATTGCTTCCTCCACCTCTGCCGTCCTCAACACAGCTTGTGGTGCTTGGCTGCAGGCTGCTGGCAGGTTTCGGACCGTGTGCTGTGTATCGATCATTCAACTGGCGTTCTTCACATTTTACATCACTTCGCACTTCCAGGAAGCTGAGGTCTGCTCCAGTGCACCTGGCTGGAGTTCAAGCAAACCTGTCCTGGATTCTGCAAGACCTCAGCATCTAGGAACTTCAAGCTGGGAACTTCTGCCAACACCGCCGCTCAAGGATCCAGCCCATTCCGTCCGTGGCATCTCCGGGTATGACTCGACCTTAGGCACGCGTCTTTCTCTGGTGTGTGCACTCGCCCAGCTCTGCTGCCACACGTGGTTTCGCTGGCGCGTATCTTAGAAGTTGGCGCCAATGCGACACACATTCCGCACTCCCGCGATCATCTCATTCTCCACTTCCTTGGCAAATGGCAGACAACTACTAGGCCAAGTGCCAGACCTGGACAGCAACATCGACATCGGAGTTAGCGTTGCAGGTTCCTGTTTCAGTCTCCGCCTTTTCAGCCTTGCATTGAGGCTAGCATCAAGTCTACGGAGTCTACGGCAGGGCCGGCGGGGGCGGTGGAACCGGCGGTGGGGCTGGAACAGCCGCTGGCAATGATTCGGGCACTTGCAGCGTTACCGCCATGACTCCGATGGCCCCCGGCGGCACGGTGAGTGAATGCGTTTGGCCAAGGTAGTTGACAAGGAAGGTGCTTCCAGGTTGTGCGCCTTCAGGGAGGGCGACCTCCACTTGGTGAAATTGATAGCCTGCAACTGGACCCTTTTGAGTCTCATCTGGCTCCCAGTTCTCGCGAACTGCATTGAACCTTAGGACTGACGCGTGGCTTGAGTTCTTCAGGCAGGCGTAAACTGCCCATATCTGCCCATAACGGCCCTACGAGCAATCAGTTTAGAGCAACCAGTTGCCAGTGTCTACGTTTTACATACGGCCCATCAAATGTCTGAGACAAAGCCCTTGTCACAAGGAACATCAACTGCTGGAAAGCGAAGAAGTCCTCACTGGCTGTTAGGGCCGTCATCAGAGCCTTGAAGTTCGGATCGTGACCGTATGCTTCGCTGCAGGCGCTGAAGTACTCCATGAAACGGGTACATTCAGCATCACACTGGTCCAAGATGCTCAGCAAGCGGTCCTCCGATCAAGACCGCTTCATGACGCCCGCATTTCGGCTCGGGTCTTTGGGCTTTCAGAAACACGCTTGTTCCAAATTTGCTGAAAGCTTTTGTAGCCTTGTCTCGATCACACTGAAGCCTTGATTTGCGGCACCCGCCTGGTGCTCTGGTTATAACCATTGCTGCCCCGTGTACAGGCTGGACATCACAAAACAACTGTATTGGGCAACAACTAAAGAGCTTCTGTTCTCCCGATGTCCAAGAGTTGAGAATTGGCGGGAATAAGTTGACAAGCAAGGAGTACAGCAAGTATGAAACAAGTGTACACCTTGCTGCGCCCTCCCCCCCACCCGCCCACTCCCCCATCCACTCTTCTGAACTTCTGGGGATTGCCCAAACGATCGGGTGATGGGATGCAAAGCTCACAACGAGACTTTTAAACTTCAAAATCACTAAAACAAACACAAGCACACAACTTTTTAACAAAAGCCAATGAATCATCCAACGGCCTCCGAGTGCAGCACAAAAAAACAGAGGGAGAGAGAGAGAGAGAGAGACACGGACACGGACACGGACACAGACAGAGACAGACACAGAGGAACCAAGAAACCACAAACCTTGCAACTACCTCACACATGTCAGGACCTGCCAAAATCCACGCTCTCCAACACGAAACTCACTTGCCGATGACAAACAACGAGACCTCCCCAGGCAAACCGGGCTGCAATGCTTTGACGCCCTGCAGCCCATACAGCAAAGCCTCTTTACGGCAACTGCCTTGCAATCGTTTTCATCATTCTATCATTCTCGTATATGTCACATCACAACGTCACACGTGTTCTTACCACGCTTTTAAGACACTGCAGTCCTCGTAGAGCTTCTTGAACTTCCTGTGAATGTTCACCCACTGCATCGGACAGCTGCCGTCAAAGTGGACTACGGCAAACTCTTCGATGTGGCAGTTTATGAATGTTTCAACTTCGGCTCGGAAACTGGGGTCCTGAAACCCCGCCATGACGTTAGTGGCAACCTCTTGCATGGACATGCCCCCAGGAGTCGCCATGATGTTGCGCAGATTGTAGGATGCTTCCCTATTACATCTGGTACTTCACTGGCTGATTGTGCTATGGATTGGAAACTGGTCTACGACATTGACATTGTCACGGGCATAAGCCAAAAGCTCATCAAGGATGCAGACAGCTGCCTAAGCCCAAAACCGGCAGGACAGCAACGTCTACTGCCAAATTTGGGGCTCTGTCAGTCATCCACGTCTCGACATTCTTGTCTTTTGTCACCACTGGGTTGACCTGGGGTACAGTCTGTCAATGTGTGCCAGCTGCGTGGTCGGGTACACGTATGTTCATGCTAAGATGCAGATGTTAAGCTACGGACGAAGTCAATGATCTCTCCCTCCTTGGAGTGCATTTGGGTCGCGACGAGCTGATCTGTGAAAGTGAGCTTCTTCATCGCCTCGCCGCGTGAAAGCCACATTTGACAATGCTTGGAGCAAGCAGATTGCATACCTTTTGACACCTTGCCGACGCACAAACCCGACAAACGGTCTGTGCCAATGCCTCGAAGACTTTGGAGAGGAAGGGCTGCACTCTCAATGGGTCCTCTGAAAAGCCAGGCCAAGCTGCAAAAGGCACGGCACATGGGCTCACGAATGTCAGCTGAATGGGCCTTGGTCTGGGACAGAATCTCCAGCAGCTCATCGTTGGACAGGAAATAGAAGCGTGCAAAGGCTGCACACCTCGGCCCAGATTGGAGGAGAATGAGTTCAGACGGATTCATACGAATTTAGACGATTCATGATGCGCGTCCGAATGAGGCTTGCGCTTTGTGGCAAGATAGTCGTCCAAGCCCTTCTGGACCTTGAACCCGGAGCACATCTGCCACTGAAATCAGCAAATTCCGGAGAGCAAGGGGAACTAGCGCGTGCTTACGCTATCCCATAATAGTGAGCACAGGAAACGACAGGTGCTGCCACGTCGCGATGTCCAAGTCTCGGTTCACTGTCTGCCACTGCGTGAGCAGGCCTTCCTGATGAGGACACAGCATGAATGACAGACCTTTGTCAGGAAATGAGGAATATAGGGGCTCCTGTGTGCACTGGGTCAAGGCGTGGCCATTGCTGTGAACCCGGCCTTGCAGACTGCATTGACCCAACGGCTCTTGACCCGTAGTGCAGATGCACAAACGACCATAAGATGCGTTCGCGGGATAGCAAATTGACTACAATCTACACGGCAAGGGCGGCAAGGGCTGCCACTCATTGTCTGCCGCCACTTTCCTCGAAATCTGGTGTTTGCTCAGCTTGCACAAGCCGACGCCGCATTTTGTAGCTCTCAGTGCTCCACCGTCCACAACTTTGAACTTCTTGCCCTCTGTTGGCAGCTGCTTCATGATGTCAGGCCTCCGCATATGCTCCAGAAGTTGCGCTTGCAATGGTCTAAATGCCGTAACCGATCCGATGTTGAGCATCTTGCGAATCAAAGATAGGCTGCAGGTACATCCAGGCCTGGCATCTGCTGAATTCTGCCGGCAAGGCAAAGGTCAAGAAAGCACAAACACATGCACAGCAGATCCACGTTCCAAGCTCGTGACACGTTGCACTTTCAGCCACTGATCCAAGCCTCAGAGTGCTGATGCTCAAACCCGCGACTCGTTCTGGAGGTTTCCGATTATCTTAAGGCATGAGCACTCTGACACATACATCAGCTTGTCGTTCCACTCGTCAATGTCCTCCTTGAACGGCTTGTTGAAAGGGGAAAACCTTTGTCAGCGCAGCTGAATGTAGGCCAGCATCAAAGCTATGTACAACAGAGCTGTTGCTGAGTTGTCTGCTGCATAGCCTGTGTCACCACGATCTGCTCATCCAGGACAGCCATGACCTGAACCCGTACGGGCACATGACGATCGCACTGGGCTGGCAATATTTGCAGGCACCTCGTCAGCCCCCTTGAGGATGTAGGTTCCCTTAGTCACCGGAGAGTCACCGACCAGCTGCCGCATGCAAACACAGGCTTGTCCAGTACATGATTTGCTGCCGGGCATCTGTCGTCCGATACGGCTCACTGCAGTCGAAGAAGACCTTATCCCAGGCCGCCTGTGCGAGGATGAATGTGCACAGTCTTGCTTGTGTTGGAGAGGAAGAAGAAAGAGACACAGAGAGAAAGGGAGAGGCAGGGAGTGAGAGAGAGAGAGAGAGACAGAGATAGAGATAGAGATTGAGCGATTTTGTATATGCATGTGAACACATCGCACGGTGGCAACCCTGCGTCCTGCATGTTTTTCAGCTGGTTCTCAATGTTCTGCTCCTGGAATTGTAACATTCTTGAACCCCACAATGCCCAGGATTCTCAGTGCTCTTCAAGACAAATGAGGCTTTGAGCCAAGGCCTTGCCAGCACGATCGCCGATGTCCGCAATGGCCGCAGCATGCTCGACCATGCCCAGCCTCCGAGGTCCAAGGCTCTCAGCTCAGAGCAGTATATAGCAGTATATAGCAGTCATAGCATGCTTTATAGCCGGAAGCCGCGCAGGCCGGATTCTGGGGCGGGCACTCCTCAAACTTCTCCAGGGTGAAGTTCTGGGCATTACACAGGAGATGCGCTCGTGATGGGACAGACCCTTCAAGTACCATCTTGCACCATCTTGTGCCCCCTCTCAGAGGCCTCCATGCTTGGATTGACTTCGCTGCCGACGAGGTTGGACACCTGCTGCCAGTGGCGTTCGGCCATGCCAGGATTCCTGAGTCAGGGACTTAACATGACTTACTTAACAGAGATCCACGGAGATCGCTGGAAACGTCAGCGAATATGCCAGGCTATCACCACTGCACTCATCGGACCCGGACCGGAGGCCGACCACAATTGGAACTTTGGGAACGAAGGCATCGATCGCTTCCTTCCCAAAGCATGGGATGTTCCATTACGTCGCACGTGAACATGTGGACTGTCCTTGATGTGACGCGCAATCCCCAAGACCTGCGAAAAATGGCAGGCACTGTGATGCTGACAGGTTTTCCAAAACTGTTGATCTTGGGACCCACCTCGTCACAGCCTTCGCGCTTTTCAAAGGCTCGCACGGCCTTGAAGAGCGTCTTCGTACCGGCCTGGCCACGTCTTCGAACCGGAACAGGCGAAGTAGAACAACACTGAACGACAGCAAGAAAGAGCGATGCATGCAATCATAGGCGAGGGAACTGTCGTGTACGTAACAATTCAGGGTCTTGAAAATCTCTTTCGGCATGCATTTAGCTCTGAAAGGCTCTACAGAATTCAGGAATGGAGCGCATAGAGAGAGGGAGGGAGAGAGGGCCCGGCCATAACGCTGGACTCGCACGACTTGGCATCCACCGCCTGGAAGGGACCTGTCCTAGGCAGGCGGCTTACTTCGGTCACCTGTGTGACCAGAGTTTAAGAGTGATCAAACGGTCAAACCATGAGGAAGTTCAAGGGCGCACAGCCACTTCTTCGAGTCATATGTCCAATTGTAGGCAGTGACCTTGGCCATCAAGTTGTGCTGGCATGTGCTGGCATGTCGTGACGGAACTGCACCCCGTAGGATTGAGACCCAGAGCTGCGAGAACGGCTCCCACCTTGCCGCTTCTAGCGAATGGCATGCACAATTACGACACACTACGCAATGAGATTTGCCATGCACAACACATGTCATGCAAGTACTGAGAAGTTGGCTCTTTGGTTAGTTGTGCGATCATGCCGTAGTCAGTGGCCTCATGAAGTCAAGGCAGTATTGCGGCAGCATCATGGGCTTGGTGACACATTGGGCTTTGCAGCATGGCAGCGCCTCTTTCCCAAAGAGAAGCTCGCGCGAGTTGAAAAGCTTGGCTTGGGTCGCGGCCTCAAGACTCGCTTGCTGGAGTCTCAGAAAGGGTCATGCGCATGACGTCACGACATGTCACTGAAGCATCGGCAGATTTCAACCGCTCATTGACGCTCTCCACATTCTCGTAGATCTCGTCGAGCTTCTCGAAGTCCTGGCAGAAGACCAAGTGGTACCACAAAACTTGGGCCAACTGTCTCTTGTCTGTGCAACCAAGTCTCATTGTACTGAGCGAAATTCTCAATGGTGTTTGCCTGGGGTTGAGGCAGCTCGCATGTCCATTTTCGGCCCATTTCCAGTGACAGACTGACTTCTGGTCTCTCGGGACATGGCCATGTCCACGATCATATCATCAAAGTCCGACTGCTCTTGCTGCTGGGCTGCAGCAAAGGATGCCTCCGATGTATCGTGTTTGTTCCTGCCTATCGGGCCTGTTGTGCAGATCTGCTGTACAAGTTCATTGCGCATCCGCCCACCTCCAACTCTCGAATGTCTTCCTCGACTTTGGCCACCAGGTCATATGTAGACTTCGGGCAGCCAAAGACACGCCAACCTAAGTCCGTACGCGGAAGACTTCAGCAGTGCTCATGCACACAGAGACAAAGCCAGTGGTGGCAACTCCAAGCGCTTTCTTCAAAGTTTCAGCATCACTCAGCGTACACTTTAGTCCGAGGCGTTGGTAGAAGTCATCAGCGGTGAGCTGTACACCGAACTCTTCAAGGACGCCGTACGTGTCCAGGCACCTCCCGAAGCACAGCACAATGACGCGTGCCACGTGCCCACAACTGCAGCATCCGAAACCACTACGACCAAAACGCAACATCTTTTTTACGTCGACCATCCCCACCCCAGAGCTTAGTGTGGGATGCCCTTTTCGGACTTCGCCGGGCAGGATTTTCTCACTGTCGTTGGGGGGTCAACACGCCATGAGCTCGCTGCAGGGTTCTTATTGGCTTCTCCTGGCTTCTCGAAGGGACTCCTTAAGGTGGGCATGCCAGGGACGGCGAGTCAGCACTCCCACAAACCAAGAGGAGAGGAGAATGGGTACTTAAAATCCAACAACCCCGAGGGTGGTGAACAAACACAAACAAACACAAACAAACATGCAAACCAAAACAAAACAAGCAAACAGCAAACAGCAAACTAAAAAAGTCCGCGCCTCTTCGTGTCTGGGGCCATCCTTGCCGGCGACGCTTCTCACTTGCAGCCACTCACTTGCAAGCGAACCCGAATCGCAACCCAGCAGCTTCAGGATTTCGGCAGGGATTGTTGCAATGTACCTGCACCACAGCCACGAGCTGGAAGGCCATTAAATCGCAAGTGCCAAGTGTCGGGCATTCCGCTGGCTGATGACAAGCTGAGGACAAGACTCCCGCATGGCCGTCACTTCTTCGATGTCCTGAACGCTGACGGGCTCATGGCCACAGTTGTAAGTTGACCGATGTGTTGTCTGAGTCTGGGTGTTGCAACAGTGTTGCAACTGTGCCTCTTCCATGTTGAAGACTTCAACATGGAAGCGCAATCAGAAATTCATGGCTATATTCTGCACAGCAAGTGTAGCCGACGCAGGCTCCTTCGGCGACTTGCGCAGCTGCGAAAACACCCCAGCGTAGGCGTCTGTAATCTCCTCCAGGCGCGAGACTTGGCGAAAGACACAGGAATCCGGGTAACGAAGCCAGGCCTGTGTTCCATCCCTGAACTTGGTCCTCGGATCGAGGATCGGAATGCAACAGGAAAGAGATGGAAGAAGCCTTGCACACGACACTACCCCGAGTTGAGAATTTGCAGCTCTGCGTCATCATCATGTCCAGCAGCAGCTCTTGGATCTTCCTGGGGCGCGCTGTTGCTGCTATCGGTTGCATTGGGCCAAAGAATATTCCGCAGAATTCCGGGCTCCAGACCGGTGCTTGCCAGCAAGCGTCTTCCGAATCTCGTTGCAGGACACCTGTCAAGTTTTCAAGCTTCTCACCACCAAAACCCGCTTCTCAACATCATCACTCGTCATTTCTTGCGGCCGCTTTGATACATGCCTTCGATACATTTTGTGCCATTAAGCCGGCCTCGAAAAGACCGACCACAATGGACTCCGGGATGGACTCCAGGATCTGCGGGGGGCGTTGCAGTATTTTCCAGGCAAACAAACAAGCCCCCCCTCCTCCCCCCGGGAAAAAAAAAACATCCCCCCTGAAAAACGAAAATCCCAAAAAGAACGCGGTGAGAGAGCTGCGGCCTAAAGGCTCATGATCGGCTCAGGCCTCGTGCTCCTTCTGCACTTGCTCCAGGATGCAGTTCTTTGCTTCTGCCGTAGAGATGTCTGCATCAGCCTGAGCGGGACGAAGTGGCAGCGTCAAGCCTGCGCCGAATCCACGCCGCCAATTCCCGCCCGCCTTAGCTTGGACAAACTCCGCCGGCTCCAGCTGCAGGAGGTCCTCGTACCTGCGCGCATTTCTCAGAGGGCTCAACTCAGCCCCCAGGAGCAGCCTCAAACCCGCCCGGGGGACGAAGCGAAAAGCGCCAGGTAGTCCTGAAGAGCTGGAAGTGCCTGACCAACATTGGGGCGCGGCGCTCTCGCTTAACCCGCCCAGTTGATGACACTCCGTCAAGAGACACGCAGGCTGTTTTCCGCGAGTCGGCCCCTCCGGTCCAACGGTCCAACCGGTCCAACCATGGAGTCATGGAAGCGGCTGCCGCGTCATCGCTCAGCACGTCCTCAAAGCAAAAAGTCGACTCCGCACACAAATTTACGTGGGGAACTTCAGGCTTTTACGAAGCAGAGCTGGGGACGCAGTCGCGAGACCGGAGGTTGTGGGCTGGGGGCGGCGCGGAAACAAACCAAAACACACTTCAAGACGCGACGCTGTCGGGCTTGGGGGGCAAGGCTTCCGAAGGAGTAGGTACGTTTGCACACGGGGGCCGTTGCGCCACACTGGGGCCGAGCGACCACGGCAAGATGCAGGACGGAGCCACCCGGAAACAGCGGCCCCAAAGCATTGCCAGCGGTAGACAAAAATCCCAGACGAAGCCAGACCCCCGAACATCTCAAGCCCTTGTGTTGAATAACGCTGAAAACCTGCAATCGCAACCCACAAAGCAGTTGCCCACATACGCCATGCTAAGGCCAGGTCTTTGCATAGACGTTGCACAGAGTTCAGCTGGCAAAACAAGTCGTAATAGTTCGCCTGAAATGCAAGAAACGCACTCAGGTGCCCTGTGCAAATCCAACAGAACCGAGCCATGCCCATCCCAGTCACGTGAAGCACGTCTGCAACGTTGGGGCCCGACAAGGACTTCACCTCAGCAAAACACGACCCCGAACTTGAACAGCTTGCATTCCCAGTGTAGCAACCAGCCACCCGAGTACTCCCCCGGAAATGCTGTATCCTCCCGCAGACATCCGCATACCAAGGCATCTTGTGTGACTGGCATCATGAGAACGAGTCGCGCCATTGAAGGACAGCACGAACTTGCCTCTCAAAGCATCACCCTCTGTGCTTGCAGCCTGATTACTAGAGTTCAACTAGCGTGCGTATTTAATAAACTTGCAGCCACTTGCCTGGCGCCCAGGTCTCACCCACCAGGCGAGAAGAAATCGGATGGTAGGAGTTCCTCGGCAGGCGTAGGCAAACCCTGTCTGAAAAGGCAGTGGCGCTGACAGCATGCAATCTGGTCACATGCTGCTGAGATACATTTCAGATTGTGGCAGCACACGCACCTCTTTCGGGTATGCTGATGGAAGATCACCTCACAACAATCGACTGATTCAACACATTTGCGGTATGACACGATACTGTGCAGACGATGTGCAGTGAACTAGAGAACTCGCTGGGAGTCGTACCCTCCTTCATGGTAGTTTCATAGCTTGTCTGCGCAACGTAGCGATGATTGTCTCCCAATAGCTCTTGTGCGAACGCTTGCTGCTCCCACCAGGTGTGGTTTACAAATGGCGAAAAGCCTGCATCGTCTCCCCAGACCTCCGCGAAACGTATGCAACGAATCCACATGAACCCAACCCACCATTGGAAGACATGAGGTACGTGCTGTCAAGGATCTCTTGCAAGCAATGTGCGGCTCCAGTCCGACTGTCTCATCAGAAAAATTGCCGTATTGAGGGACTGCGCATCTTCGGTGACCAGCAAGTGCACCGAGTCGTCGATCGCTAGAGGCGTGGCTTCCTCCGATGCCCTAGCATACGTTAGAAGAAGTGAGTCCAGTGTTCGTTCCAAGTCCATGAAGTACAGGTCGCAATCAATCCAGACAACCCAGTCCCAGCGATCATCTCCCATTGCCTCCCGCAATGCTTCCACCTTGCCCCAGGCAGGAGGACGTCCTGAAGCATGACAAGGCACATTGACATGCTGAAGGAACGCTGAGGCATGAACTACAACAAAGCATGCAGCGGCCAGTGTGACAGTTCAATTCTGTTGTCGGTCCTTTCGCATGATGTGAGTCACGATGATGAATGTAGCCGTATCCGTGCCGATGAGCGTACATTCCATGGACCGATGCTGCAAGGCGCGGGAGCAGCACGCCATCTGGATAGTCGCAGATTGTGACTATGCACAGCGACAATCCATGAACTCGGATGCTAGGCTTCACCATTTCTGTGCTCCTGCTCGGCGACTGGGGCAGCTGGGCACGTAGAGCGCGCAGGGTAGCGGCAACTGATCGATGCTCATCCCCGAATTCCTGGGAACGTATGGGCCACGCAGAGTCGTCAATGAAGGAGTCCCGGTGCTGGGCGACATTGTAGGCATAGATGAGCCATCCAGAAGCTATGTGCTGCATTCGCAACGCGACCTCTAGAGCAGCGACTTGAACCTTGGTCTCTGCATCTCGTACTTTTGGGTCTCCATAGTGCGACATGGCTAGAAGACGAAAGGCGGTGCCCATCCCCACAGCACACTCCTCCAGCGCACGGCGGAGGGACGCTGCTCGGACAAAAGCACGTGAACGGAGCTCGACGGGCTCAAGGAGCTCGAGATCCTCTTCTAGGGCGCGGCTCACAGCCCGGCTGAGAACCTGCCGCGCTTGCGGTGCCTCTCCGTGGGACAGCAAGGTATCTGCATCCTTCAGATCCAACAGGAGGGGCTCCCAAGAGGATGGGCAGCGCAACGACGTCCGAAGAAAGTCAGCTTGAGACGGGCTCTGGTGCAAGGGAGAGCTCGAAGCGCTGATGTCTGCCAAAGGGCTGAACCAGCATTCCCCAAAGAAAAGCACTGCATTGACTTTGAACATCCAGGTCCTGCTGCCACTTTCACGTGCATGGTCCCACTACGGGCCATGGACTAAGGCACTATGGCACCCTTTGTCAGGGCACTGCCTTATGCTGCTGTCGAATGCCTGCTTACCCTCCTCAAGCAGGCTTTGAGACAAGTGCTAACCAAAGTGTCTGAGAGTCTCGCAAAAAAAAGGTGCCCTGGACTCCTTGACATCTTCCAAGATTGCAACATTATCTCTTTACATGTTCTAACTGTGGTGGCATGTGGTGGCTCAAGGACAGTGAAAACAGGCTTGCAGATGGGCCTCGGTGGCAGGACGAGGTGAACACAAAGGATAATCACAAATCACAAGCTGCTTTCTTCAGCAGCTAGCTTCATGCCTGGCGCAAGTTCTCCATCATGGCTGCCCTCCTTGCCTGGTCTTGCTACGAAGGCAAGATGCAGGCTTGGGGTGGGAAGGTTCGGTCCTTGACGAACGGCGTGTCCGCCTTTTTGTCGTCACTTCGCGGGGTGTGCACGTCCACTGTGTTGAGGACTGGCAGTGAGCGCAGTGAAGTGTGCACATTCCGGTTGCTGTGAAAGTTGCTAGCTTAGAGTGCCTTGCTTCACGACCACCGTCTTGAAGAGCTGTGGCACTATCTGTGGCTCTACCTGCTTGTCGGTTCAGGCTGGCTCTACGATGGACTTCGCACGAAGCAGCTCAGGAATGAAGACACAGAAGAATGCATAACTCAGACTAAGCCTGAGGAATGTCGCCCAAGGACATCACTCCTGGGCAGAACTCAACAGTCGTGTAAGTGTTTGGGCCACAGGTTCTGTAAACTTGCGGCCGGTGGGCCAAGGTCCAGCACCTCACCGCAAACTTCCACGGCAGCCTCACCTCCCGACAGACAACCATCTCCGGGCCGAGTTGCTAACACTTCACTGGCTCATTTTCATGGTTCGCTCTGAGACGCCGGCTGCTTGTGGAATATGCAAAAGTCTTGTCCTACAATTCCAACTGCCGTGTGAGCTGAGAACGCCACTGGGATTCGACAAAGTGGCGAACATTCGGAGCCAGCTGCGACTCCACAATTCTGGGGACCTACCCCTCTAAGCAAGCACTTTCATACCCACATGGTCTCCACTCCACTCACAAGCAACGTCGGATAGGGGTGCGATGGGCAGGAGGAAGGAGGGAGAGAGAGCGAGAGAGCGAGAGAGAGAGAGAGAGAGCGAGAGAGGGAGCTACAACTCCAACCTGAATGCCGACCGGATCTGACGAACCGAGACAATTACGTCGCTGCATTGCATGATCTTTAACAAAGCCGTGCATTGTGATCACTGTGCTTTGCTTAGCAAGGGGGCCTCAAGGGTCGGAGCGGGGAAAACTAAAATACAAATTATGCACACGGATGGTCGCCGTGATCGTTGCATGTGTCCTCCGTCACTTTGATCTCCAGGAGGAACAGTGCCGAGCCGGGTTTTAAGTCCGCGCTCTCTTCGTCGTGACTCAGAGCGAAGCACCAGGTCATGTCACAGTCAGTTCGGTGTCGGGGTCTCTCTCTCTCAGTGCCCTCTACTTCCTTATACTTCCCCAATCTTCCCCATAAAGTCTGCTAATGATCCTGAGGCTTCAGCTCTGTGCCGTAAAATGCCAGGCCTGGGCGACCTGTCATTGCGGTATGACCAGTCCACATACCTGGACTTGCATTTTGTCTCTGCTGTAGCCTTCGGACGCGCGCCTGGAGGAATCAGCTGGCGACTTCCGCCACGTTTCGCAGGCAGAGGACGTGGGCGAGTAACGAATTCACTTTCCACCTTCATTCACAAATGAAGTCATGACCTCATAATCTGCCTGGACCATGCAAGATCGCCTTCATCAAGTCACTCACCGTAACTCTTGCAGGACACAGCTCCTGGCTATGCCGAACTGGCCATTTTCATAGTTCAACGCATCCCACAAATTATTGAAATCGATCTGATTCAACCTACATTCTCCTCCAAACCGTGGCAGTAGTCATCGACGGAGTCCAAAGCCTCGCAAACACTCTCTCATGGCACCTACGACTTTAGATTCTGCCGCAACTCTCAGCACAGGGCAAAGAACTCCAGGGAATCCTGCATCATGTTCTTCACAACGGCCTTGGGGGAGGGCGCTGGAGTTTCACAACACTTGGAGCCCGCCCCAGTCCACTGGCTGCCGGACCAGCAGCTTCTTAAGCTTGCCCTGACAGGTTCCAGTCAGCCAATCCGCAACCTGCTCCTGTTTCGTCCCGCGACTTCTGCCTGGCGGTATGTGTCCTGGTTTGTCTCGTGGATGGAAAACCAACCTGCCATGACAGCGCCAGGACAGGAACAGCAATCTGGCGCCCCCTAGTGTGGATGTTGCGGCAAAGATGCCTTTGCCGACGTCGCGAAAATTCTTGAGAACGATTTTCTGTATATTGACCACCTGAGTCTGCATCTTTCAGGAATGCTCGTCGACTCCAACTTGCTGGGGCCCGGGCCCACTGGTCCCTAATCTTGTGCGCCATAGATGTGATGGCCTGGACCCAGGGAAGAAGATGCCACCGTGCCGCAATTGATTTCTTCCAAATGGCGCCATCTCAGATCCCCACCGACTTCTGCAGATGACGGAATTGCTCTGGCTTCATCAGCCTTGGTGGCACCACCACACTCCAGATCATGAAGCCTCCAGACTTAATCCCCTTATAGGATTTTTAGAACCATATAGGATCTTCAGAGACAAAGATGGATCGCTCAACCAACTTGGCACGATTCACCATCCTCATGGGCTAACCAACTTGATGGTTGGTGACTGCGTGATCAGCATTGATATTACCGACCGCGATAAGAAGCCCTCGGCTCGTGGAGACTTGAGGCACCCGACCGAGTGAACCTGTTCGCATAGATGCAGGATGCCATAAGATTCAAGTTCTCCTTGCCCACAGACATACAAGCCGTATGCAAGCCAACTGATAAAAATCTTGTATGTTGCGTGTGCAACAGGAGTGTAACCTGTCCTGGCACACCTCACCCAAGCTGCTCACAACTTCTGGCCTGCGGTGGCAGGACTCTCTTCCGTGCTTGACAGCAGGGGTCAGGATCAGGACAGCTAGGCGGCTAGGCCTGATGTAAAGCGATGCAAAGCAGAAGGATGAGAACGCTGTGGTGAAACAATACTCCGGCACCTGGGCTCAGTACCGAGGTCAACAAACACGTTTCTCAGACAAATCAGAGCATAAGCTTATAGAGAGGGTAGAAACACACGCAAAGGCGGTCACTGGCCAAAGCGAGAACCATGGGACATCCCGGTCGAAAGGATTCTCGCCTGCCGGGATCAGAGTAAGAGGCGCACCATTGTCTGGCGACATCTCTCTGATGGAACAGTGATGGAAACCTGCCTGCATCCTCCAGATCATCAACGTCGATGTCGTCCAGCCTGGCATTCATGCTCGGCATTCTGATGCGCCCATAAGCAGCCTGCAGGCACTCCGCGGGTACCCTGATGGCCGAGTCGCCGACAGTCCAGCCACATCGGTGGCCTGCGCTCCGCTCGGCATGCTGGGCATCGCCTGCTCACTGCAGCGCGTAGACTGGCGCACGTGCTGCTGCAGCGCACATGCTGCTAGTTAGGTATGGCGCCATGCATTTTCGCACTCAGGTCAGCCTGGAGGTTCATGCATGAACGGGTGGGCATTCACTACCATGGAGTGAACTAAGTATTGCAACAAAGCACTAACACATTCCTGGCAAATGCCAGAGCTGCACAGCTCATCTAACGTCTCAATTGTCTTCCACGGCCGGATGTGCAGGATTTGCTTCACCACACCAGTACAGTCCATCTCGGTCTCCACCTTCGACTGTCTGAGATGCCTCAGCAGCTCCTCTGACGCAAGAGTCGCAGTTCCTCAGCGGAATCTGGAGGGCCCAGAATCTCGTGCCGCGGCGACTGTGTCCGCCTGTATGCATGGTGCGAGTGGTAGGCAAGCAAACGTGCTGCGAATTCGTCACGAAGTTGCGAAAGGGTTTCCCGCCAGCTTGGACGAGGTGCCCGTGCAACGAGTGGCTGAACTCCGCAGACAGCTGGTCGACATGTGCAAGAACCATGGAAGCGAAAACGCTCACCAGTCTGCCCTGGAAGGTGTGGGGATCCCCCACTGTGGATGAGGCGAGTCGAGAAATCTTTATTGCGGCCTCTGCATCCTGCTATGACTTCCGAAGCCCAGCACTCTGACTCTCGGCCGCTTGGCGCTCGAATCCCGAGTCTGACTATGATTGACTATGCAGAGCAAGAGATTGTGAACATTCTGCAGCCGCTGTGAAAGGCATGGGCCATAGGAGAGGCCGCAGATCTCGGTGACAGCCTGGAAGGCCCGCTGCAGCCTCGGATGTGTCACAGCAAAAACCAAAAGTCTTGCTGCACATTGTTGCGTACGTTGCCGCGTACGGCGTATTGTCACATTTATGGCTCGCATTAGAAGTCTGCGTTCACTACACGATGTTAAACAATTTGAAGCAAAAACGTGGCGAAATGCAGGCCAGCCGCACGCACCAAGGGTCTTCTCCTGCATCGCCGCGCTACAGACAAGCAGCAGCACGCCCGAGGATGAAAACAGAACACAGGGGCAGCAACGCTGCGCACCTTACGGAAGCTGTGCTCATCAAAATTTATGCTGCAAAGGCGCACTCGGAAACTGCTAATAAATCTGTGCCGAGGCGCTAGAATGGTTCTAAGGCTCTGCGCCATGGTCCATTCGGCAAGCGATGATGCGTAGTAACTTAGTAGTAACGTTCGCTCAGGTGTTTTTTGCCTAGTTCCTTGTGAGCTACGCAACGATGTATCTTCGGTTCACTCACGGCTTTGGCGATGTTCTTCTTGGTGCGCAAAATGCAGCTACCCTGCGACATGGTGGTAGAGCCAGGCAGTGGTGTAACCCCAAAACTCTCATTGACTTCAATGACCGCTTTTTCAAGTCGACGGATCGGACGAGGGGGGAAAATCAAGCTAATCCGACGTCGGCTAACATGGCTCACAGAGAGCTCTCACCACGTCGCCGCTTGGAGTCCTCCAGCTGCCTTTGTCGCAGAATCTCCCCACATGTCTTACATGCCAGCGGGGGAGGAAGCTGTCGCGAGGATTTTCTGGCTGCCACCAAGAAGCGCATAAGGCGCATACAGGTCCCCTCGTTTCTGGTATGAGGTTGGAACCTGCCAAGATCAACAGCTGAGAAATATCTGCCCTGACACACCGGCTCCAGGCTCCACACCTGTTCTCGAATGCGGTCTGCTTCCGAAGGGTCGATCTCCACAACCCACACACCAGGCTCATGCTCTGCCTCAAGGGCATGCGCAAAATGCATGCAACGGTTGCAACACCAGTTCTAAGCCTCCTAGGCCAACTCGCATCTCACGATATCTCACGATATCTCCAACCTCGACCACCACCTCCGCCCACGGATTGATCAGCTGCGAGTGCCCCCAAGCCTCACATTGACCATGTCTGCTCAACCGGCAAAACAGGAAGGGACGGCCCCGAGTTCTACTCACCGCCTGGTAGTCGTTCTTGTCGCTGCTTCTTGCTGGAGAAGCAAATGCAACCTGAGCAGGCCACACCATTGCTTGCATGTCCTCTGCTCCGGGGCAAGCAGGCTAGCAAATCCGAGTCGCATATGATTGAGTGTCGACCGCCCGACCACGTGCCAGCAACTGGTAATGCGCAGGCCCTGTGGTCATGTTGAAAGCGCCGGGGTAGATCAACACCTCCCAATACAAAGTGGGTGAAGCACAGCTTGGCTCCCGCCAGTTAAGCAACGGCAAACAGCACCAACCCTACGGGCTATACTTGCTATGCTTGCTGCCATAATTGTTGCCAATGCCAATACGAATTACGACCATGAACTGTGCGATTACGTTTGTTGTTGCTTTTGCTGTGGTGTTGTTGGGATTACGAGTATGAAAGGAGTCTGAATACGAATGCAAGGACTGATACTAACTTCCAATGCCAACTACGAATACATTCCACTAATATTTACTACTGATACTATTCACGACTACGATAGTAGGTGCACGGCTGGTCGAACGCCTTAGTAGATTCGAGCGGGGTGGTTGATAGAAACTGTTTTATTGAGGGTTAAGCTCAAACAGCGACGTAAAGGTGTCTGGAGAGTTGCTAAATCTAAAACTACAAAAGCTTGTGGCAATGCACTTTCCTACAACACAGACCGAAGCAGACTTACCGGTCGGCAGGCTCTGGAGATTAGTGTAAAATGGGACCGCTAAGCTCAGTACACTTGAGGGAAGTAGCAACTGAGTACAAGAGAGCCAATCCGGCCTTGGCCCCCTCAGCACGCATGGCTAGTGCCAATTCGGGGAAGCGACAGTCATAGCAAATGCCCACGCCTGAGCAATAAGTGGAACAAAGGCTGCCACCGTTGCACATCGTTGCACGAGCTCTACCCGAACTGTCGCAAGCACCTGCTCGACACCACGGAAGATCGACCAGAGTCATCGTCTCTCCCGCCGAGAGAACATCTGACTCCTGCCAAGTGGTTTGGATTGGAGCTGCCAGGATGACGCAGGCCGGCTCAGAAAACAACAGGAGCATAGACCGCGCCAGGGACAAACAGACGGGCCCGAGAAAACCAGACAGGATTTTCTGCCAGACAGGCAGCCAAAGCAGACAGCCAAACAGAGAGTGATTGAAACAAAGACGATGACGCACCAAACAGCCAATCTCCAGGGTCCTTGAACTTCATTGCAGCCCTTGGCATTTTTCAGCTACCCACACATCGACCCTCCGATGTCTGCAAACTCAGGTCGCATCCGCGATGCGGTTGCGGCCACGTCTATGTCGAAGAGGTGCACTTTTCGGTGCTTGGCGACCTTGGCGATTTCGATCGGATCCCGACAGCTTGGAACGAGCGGCATTGAGTGCGCGACAATGCCGCCTGATGGGTTCAGTACCAAGCAGGTATTGTAGACCCGATCTTCCTGAGAAACATCTTGCCCGTCACAAGCTGCGCACCTCGACCTTGGAACCTGCCTACTCAGCTGCAGAGGACCCAGAAACAGCAGAAGAATGAACAAATCAGAGACCGGGCGTCTTCGAGCTCCGGAAGGGAGCCCCCGACGATCCAAATTTTCAATTCTCGAGCCTTGCAGGATTGCACCACTGGCTGCCCCCTCCGGGCATCGAATATTTAAGGGGCCGAAGAGACAAAGAAGAACTTCAACGAGCCACCAGCTCGCAGAGGAGCTTCACGGTCGGGCTCGAATCGGAAGCCATCTGTCCTGATTCAATGTACAGGGTCGGCTACCGACCTTGCCCAAGACACGCAGGTAGCTGATGGTAGCAGAGGTGCCCAAAACTTGTTGAGATTCATGCTCACTGATTCAGTTCTCTGCTGCCTGTTCAGTTCTGCTGTTGCGGCAGTGCTCCTGGTAACGGCAGCCTCTCACCATACTCGTGAAAGTACTTTGTGGCATACGGGCAGCTGAACCTGGGCAGTGGCAAATCCCGAGTCTAGTCTGGACGACTGGCCTCTGGACTGTCCGTGCTGCCAAGAGGCATCTCACCAAGAACCACAATCCTTCACTGCATTGCTAACACAGACTCCGGCCAGATGCTCAAACTTGCATTCGCCGTGCTGCTGGACATGATGGTGGCTGAGTCTCGCACTCGGCCCCCTTCTTGACCTCATGCTGAAGCCGTATCACAGAGACTCTTGGGCCACTGGGGAAGGTACGGTAAGCACATTCAACCTCTAGCTGCCGCCACGGCCACAGCTTCTTCGATCGCTGCTTTCGCGTTGGCCAGACTCTCTTGCTTGTTATGACCTGACACCGCACAACACTTTTCAATGGTCCAACTGCGCGACCTAACTGCTGCTCCAGCAAGCTGAGACCTGGGCTGACATGAGTCCTTGCTTCTCAAAAAAATCGGACGTGATCGTGATGGCTCTATTGAACCCGCAAGGACTACATCATGCTACACCTTTGCAGAGTCTACACAGACCATCGCATATAGGTACCCAACTGGCAGAGGCCGATCTTGAACTTCGCATTAGAGCCTCAGTACACTCTCACGATGGGAGCGCGCGCACGGTTCGAAGCAAGGCAGATCGTACTCTGTCATGAGCACCTACCGATGGCGACTTCGAGGAAGGATACCCACCAGCACCTGGTATCAAGAAACAAGGAAGGCCAGCCGTGGCCAGCCAACTGTGGTATGCCATCTGTGCCAATCAATCGAGGTGACGCTCTGAGGCATTGGCTAGCCATCGCGATCGAGCCGATGGATGCAAATGTGCGGATGGTCCAAAACTTCGCTTTCCCCGGCCTCAGCAGCTGTGCACTGCAGGCCTTGCAAGAGCTTTCAGACATCCGCTGCAGGTTCCAAGGGCCTTCTCTCCACGCAAGGTGTAGGCAGGCGAACCAACCGGCTAAGGCCAGGATGGACCTTGCCAACTTGCCCACACTTTGCCAGCGAAGTGCTAACAAACCCATCTTCAAGAGCGGGCGCATCGGCTGTCATCGGTCCTTGAGGTTTTGGCAATGCGTGAGGCTTCCGAGAGGGACCCTAACATCGATAGGAGCCAAGCAGCTGCGAGAGGCAGCGGCAGTCCCAGACAAGCTTAACAGAGCTTCTCACCAGGAAAGTGATTCGGCAGAGGGTCCACCCTTGCAAGCACCGGCCTGTGCGAAGCCGCTGTCATGGCCTGGAGGCTTCTGAACCTGCAACCGCCGCATACCGCCGGCACTACATCACTACGACGGTGAACAACTATGTGGGAATCAAAACGGCCGCCTGAGGATCACTGATCAAGATGATCTTGTTCCTCGGGAGTCCGCGAAAAGAAGTGTTGCAGGATCTGGCACAATGCCGTTTGTGGATGACAACCCTTGGAACGGGGCATGGTGCGGGCGAAGTCTAAATTGGCTTCTCGCACCAGCTCGTTGCAGAAAGTTTCCGACCTCATGCTTAACAGCGTTAGGCAAAACAGATGCGGAAAGGCAAGCGACAATGCTTGAACTCGGCTTGGCCGCTGGGTCGCGCACACATCTTTCAAATCCCTCAAACTTGATGAATTCTTGGCAAGTTCCATGACCTCGGCAGACTGGCATTGCAGCCGCATGATGGGGACAACGTGTGCAGCAATTGCACAAGAATCACACATGCCACTTCAAGGCCACATGGGTGTAATGATATGAAGGACATTGGTTGAAGAGTCTAAGCTGCACACCCTGATGACCTGCATATTGTCTTGAAGCTAGGGGACGGCAGAACATAGTACTCTGATGCATGCTTCTACTACTGGCAAGCAAGCCAATCTATCATGCAGGGTCAGCTTTCAGCACCCAAGTGCCTGATCGTCATCAAGGGTTTGGATGTCGTCAACTGGCATGTTGTCCACCTGACATTATTGGGCAAATTGCTGCAAGATTGCAAAGGGCCATGCTTGCAAGTCCTAGTCTTTCTGAGGCTTGGGCGAAAAAGTTGAGCCTTATTCTTGCTTGAGCCTGAGGCGAGAAGATGGCACTAAGACTTGAACAGAAAAAAGACGGTGAAGCCTTCTGGAGGGCTTGAAAGGCATACAGGATCCGGTCGGCAAACACCTCAAAGCCCAGCCAAGAGCCAAGAGCCAGAGCATAGCACAAGAATGGGCACAATCATTGGCACAATCCACATCTCAAGTGCTCGGAGCCGTGTGCTCGGAGCTGCACCTCCGGGTCCTCGCCTTGTATGACGATTCTCAAGCGGCCCACCGGCTCCAGTTCCTGCAAACTCCAACACGATGCGAAACATAAACCACGAGAAAAATCTCAGCTGTGGCGCTACGACCCACCACGATCCGCCGGGCGCTACCATGTGGGGGGGCGCTACGATGGGGGCCGCGCGCCTTGCCGGAAGACCAGCGCACCAAGAATTCCTTGGTGCCCTTGCCATCCTGCAGGTCCTTTCAAAGAGAGAAGCCAGAAAGAGCAGAGAAGCCCCGATTTGGGGTTGAACACACGACTCCAACATCTTAAGCAGTCTCCTTGAGGCCTTCCACTGTACAGTCCTGCGCCACAATCCGACATGGGGAACGCCGGGCACACGCCACATCACGCCACGTACAAGCACGCAGAACACGGCGACACCCGGTCCTCCCAAACAGAGCCCTTTGTCTCATAGATGCGCAATGCCTTGGCCTTCGCAAACAGCGACAAAAGACAAACGCCACAGCTCTGCCCCATAACTCGCATGTCCCAGAAATCCGAGCAATGGCGCGCCTGCAGGGGCAGAAAGCTGCCATCAGGCTGCTGGCCAAGCCTGGGTGGACACGGAGGTTTGGCAGACGTCTACGCCTCTGCGCGTCAAGGACGCAGCTCCAGCCATTGCTCTGGCATGCGGATGTCAAATTCGGTGTTGTTGAAGTCGTCCAGCTGCAACCAAAACCTGAAAGGTAGGCTGTCAGACGTCAACCACTGAAAACCCTGGAGCATCCATGTCGGACCGAAGCATGACATCGCATCGCGCCATGTTGAGGCACATGCTCGCGATCCCAGTCAGGAGTGAAGTTGCAGCCCCGCTCCTCTAGCAGAGCGACGACCTGTTCTCGAGTTCGCTGAGTGCACTTGATACAGTATTTTCGGAGTAAAGACAGATTCCTAAAAAGTTGCAAACATTCTTCCATGTAAGGTACATAAGGTGCCGACATCCAAAGCTTCGAACCACTTCCGCCGACGCTCAACTGTGACCTTAGATCGAACTCAGCCGCCAGCACCCTGCCAAGCGGTCAGATTTCCAACCCCCCATGCGCTCATGTTGCAATCATCGTGGCTTTCCGAGGTCGGTCACCCGGTCGATGAGCGTAGACTTCAATCACCTAGAAAGGCAGGCAGCGACTCTTGCAATTAAGGGCCGTTCCGGGTAAGGAGAGGGGCGTAGAGATCGTCAGCGATCGAAGCGGCACAATGGGCGAAGCGCGCGGAAACATGCAAAGAGAAGAATGGGCACCTTGGGCTCCACATCTTGCGTTGTTCTTCGAGGCGTTTTGGGAGTTGCCTGGCAGAGTTTTGAGCTCTTCGGGCCGCTGTTGGGCCACTGTTGCGCCACGCGCGCCACAAGCTCAAAAAGCCTGGCCTCCTGCGCCTTTGCTCGCAACCTGTCCGAAAGGCTGAAGCTTGTGGCACTCGCCGACCTCAAGTCACAACGTGCAAAAAGACAGAAAAGCCGAAACAGGAAAAAATGACCAGAACAAAACTGAGACATCTCCATTGCTGATCCATCGGGCACCGTGCTTTCGCAATGTGCTTGAGCATGTTCCCAGATCCTCCGGCCCGAGCTTGCAGGAGTCCACCTCCTGGCGCCTGGTACGATCTCGCCGTGCGACGTATGAGCGCCATAGAGATGTTGAGGGGCGCTCGAAAACAAAGTCTACTTGTGTATGTATGTACGTATCTTGTTGTTTCTATTTGTATGTTGCGTATGTACACACACATTTTCATGCATACTGCCTAGACCAGAATTCTCCCCTTGCATAGCTTGTGGTCACATCTGTCCACGATTTGAGAGCCTGTGTGGCTTCACCACCTCGGACAGGATGCCACGCTGCCTGCGACGGTTCGTGACTGCCAGTTGCACAGTGACATGAAAGCTACGCTGAACGAAGAGACCCGTCCACGCTTGATGAACACTGCTGGCCTAAAGCCAGAGCCGTTGTAAAAAGCTTGGCCAGAGCTGCCCATGCTTTGTCGGCCTTATCGGCGACAAGTTTCCAAGGCACTCAGAGACAAAGAGGGTTATGTATCTGGGTCTCGTAGCCAAACTTGTGCCAAAATGGCAAACCCTTGAAGCCAACCCACCCACCGACCCCCCCACCCCCCCCCCCCCCCCCCCCCGAAAAAAACAAGAAAGCATACACAAAAACAATACCAAGAAAACCGACCCTCCTGATCTGCTTTTGTTGCTGCTACAGTGCCATCAGCACAACTTGGTGGAGTGTGCACACGAGCTCATCTTTTCCATGTTTGCACCAGCGTGGCAGACAACAAGTGCAAAGAAGCACCTGCAAGCTACGGTGTCCGATTCCTCTCCACCGTGCCACTACTGAATTCTGGCACCCCACACTATCAACGACATGCGGGCACTGTCAGCTGGATCAAGCGCAGAGGGCGAGTTGGGCAGAATATGCGGCACACCATGCATGAACACTTCATTTAGCTCTGGCGTGAAGGCAAAGACATCGCCATTGTGTTGGGGGAAGGACATGGTCACACCTGACTTAACGTGCATAAGCGTCAGCTCCCTCACTGCCCCAAACGATGCTCCAACTGTGAGTTGGGGATTGCCCTCGGGGTCTCGGCCACGATCATAGTGCAAGGGCTTGTAGTCTTGCTGTGACCGGTAGAGGTTTAGTCGAACAGCTGAAGCCTTGATTCCGAAGGCCTTCTCCATTCGGCGCACAAGCTGAGCACGAAGACTCTGTTCAACCTCCGGGATGCCTGACTCAAATTGCAAGCCCAAGTGCCGAGCTCCGTGCCAGTCTATCATTGATTTCTCTTCGGTTTCCAGCTCCATCTGCAGCTGTTCCATGACACTTCTGTCGTCTTGAGAACATAGAAACGAAGACAGGAAGAAAGCATCTTCTCCGTGTATGATGGGAGATCGTGTGGATGACAGCTGCGGCGGGCTGGTAGATACACGTACCGATGGCTTCCACCACCCACACCGCTCCCACATATACCAGCATTCCTGGCAGAAGAGCTGGCCGCGTTCGGAGAACACACGGTCGGTCACCACTTCGTGTCCACCACACGCATGGCAAGTCATGCTTGAAATTCCAAGCACCGTGGGGACATGCCCGGTGCCTTGCTCAAGCAACTTCAAGCCGGCATCCACACAATCAGGATCATCTTTCTGGTACTCCGTGCGCATGAGGCGCGCGAATGAGGCAGATGTAGTCCCACCACCACCAGAAGTACACTCGCGACTCTGCACAGGCTCACCCAGGCCTGGGGTCACGCCTGCCTGACAAAGCCTGGACATCCGCAATAGCAAAATGCTAGAAAAGCATTGCAGCTCATCCTGCAACATGGTGCGCAGCGTGTGCTACTCTCCGAATGCCCACTCGTACTTGACCTACAGCCGGCGCATGAGTTGCACACCTTTGTTCTCGGAAGTTGCACTGCTACTTAGCTACTTAGCTGCTACTTAGTTGCTACTTGGCTGCTACTTGGCTGCTACCTAGGATGGCAAGGCTCATTTCGACATATCTCGGGCATCACGTGATCCTACCTTGCGCTGGTCAGCAATCACAGGCCACGACAGCGGACCAAACTGCCCCCTAAGAAGCCAGGCGGATCGATTGCATCTGGCAAAGCGCGGACGTTGGGGAACCCCACCAGTCAAGGAAGGTAGCGACCCGGAATGGCCCATCTGCCTGGCAAACCACTCACTGAACATGGTCAATGCAGCTATTGCAGCTGTCCCAACGCGTTTCAACTTTCGACGGGCAGGCTTCTTCGACACCAGCGTCCTCCTGCCGCCGATGCTCTTGAACTCCGCGACCTGTGCAGCGACATGAACAATGGCCGAAGCAACAAATCCGTACACAGCCATGCCTTGCTGGCATCCTCCATTGCGATGGCCGTCCGTGCCTCTTTGCTATTGCCCAACATTTCCAGAAGTTAAACACTAAATGTGGCGAGCCCGCTCAGGCTGTGACGCAACGGTTGTCCTCTCCCCCCTCAAGGTCGAGCCGGCACAGGAGAGGGGGGTTAGGGGCCTGAGAGCCCTGAAAGCCAGGCCAAATTTTGCGGGGGCATGAGGAGACCGTCTCTGCTGAAGGCTAGCCGTGCTAACTGACAAAAAAAAACACATGCCAACCAGCTCCATCTAGCCCAATGTCGGTCTTTGCACTCTTTGCTGCGTCCTACTCTGTGAAACAGCAGGCTTAGATTTCGCTGAGGCGGGTGGGCGGAAGATTCGCAAGCCGGACCCTTTCTTCTTCTTGGAAGCTGCTGCGGCCTGGCAGGTCCGAATCCGGGCTTTCAGACAGAGGAACGCGGGAACAAGGCCTTGCCAGATTTCTCCTGGCTGACAGCTGAAGCCTTGCCCTTGGCACGCCTGCAAGGGAAGGAGGGAGAGTGAGAGAGGGAGAGAAGGAGAGAGGGAGAGAGGGAGAGAGGGAGAGACGGAGAGACGGAGAGAGAGGGAGAGAGAGTGAGAGCATGAGAGCGAGAGAGTGAGCCCGTGCAGCGAGTGAGCATCCGCCGTAAAGAATCAAAGGTACCCGGCAACTCCTGCGGAGGAAACTTGTACAAAGAGAGGTCCCTTCATTTGCGAAGTCACGATAGACTTTAGGAGTGGGTTCCCGTTTAATCTTGGATCCCTTGGCCTCTTCCGCTTCCTGGAGCTTTGCTCAGGCTGGTGAGGCCCCCGGGCCGGTACGGCCGGCACGGCCGGCACGGCCGGCACGATTTGTCGGTTCTGTCGGTCCAGGCGGCACAGGAAGAACCCTCGGCACTTGTGAGTGACGGGGTCAGAGCGCAAGCAATGCTTGGCCCAGCTCGGAAGAGGTTTGCCATGCTTGCTCTTCTGGACGGGCGCGTTTTGCCACCAGGGGAGTGCCTGAACAACCTCGAACTCGGGGCATTGATGCAGCACTTCTTCTACCACATCCTCGTTCTCCAGTCGCAGCGTGGAGCAGGTGGAATAAACCACGGTCCTTGCTTTTACCGATGCACTTGCCAAGTCTTTCGCTTCTAGGCTTCGAGCTTCGTACAATATGCACATCCGCGTGCTTCTTCACACGGTCCCTCAGGTTTGCCGCTCTCGATGCCGTCGGGAACTACTCTGGCACACGAAAACCTAGAAAGATTCCCTGACACCGCCAAGATTCTTCGCTCTGGGGAATCTGAGAGCATGTGAGAGGATGCGTTTCTGAAATGCGGCCAAACGGCGCAGCCTCACAGAGCTTTCACTCTCGGAAGTCGACTCGGCTAAATTTATCAAGTGATGCTCTGGCAAGCCAGAGCCCGAACAGCTTGGATCAACTATGAGAATGTCCACCTCATTCCATGGGGAAACCAACGGATTGGTGTCAAGAAAATCGCCGACGTGCACATCCACCTCCACCTGTTCACTGCCACCAGTCCAGCATCGGCCCTGCACCCGCGAGCCCAACTTGAGCACTGAGTCTGAGTCTGGCGAGTCCTTCGCGTTCGGTTTTCTTTTTTTCGTGGACCTCTCCGAAAAGCCGACAAGGAGGCGCAGGCGTTTAACAAGGGCCGTCGCCCTCTTGGGATCCCTCTCAAAGGCTGCGAGGCGCCCACGCCGCAGTAGCTCGATTGCATGAGCCGTCTTGCTGCCTGGAGCTGCACAGGAGTCCACCACGAAGCTGCCAGGGACAAGGCCTGCGGCTAAAGCCGAGAGGCAACTGGAGCGGTCTTGCAAAACCAAGGCTCCGGCCTCCACTTCGGGAACTTTCTGCAGCCATGAGCGCGAGGAAGGATGCAGCACCAGCAGCTCAGGTACGATACTATCGTCCTGCACGGCTGCCATCTCTGGAGTCACATCTCGCCCTGCTTGCAAGTCCAGCTCGTACGCCGCAAACAGAGCTTCCCTCAAGCGTCTTTTGACGCCATCTACAGCCTCACTGTAAACCGTATCGCCCAGCTGCAGTCGTATCCGGTTCATGCGAACATACCGTGGCAAAGCGGCAAAGGCCTGTTTGGACTTAGAATGGACGGGCCTGACGTTTTGAGACTTCTGGAAGGCCTGGAAGGCTGCTTGCAAGTCCGCCGTGTGGCTCTCCAGTTGTCTGCGAAGCTTCCCTCCTCCTCGCAACCCGTGCCCGAGGAGAAGCTCGTAGGTCATGACCAGCATTGCACCGTGAGAGTGGCATTCGAGGCCGACCTTCTCAAGAGCTTCGGCTAAAGCGGCTTTGTTCGACAATGTGCATGAGGCTAACTTGCACACTGCGCGAGGATCTGAAGAGAGCTGCTTCGCGTAGAGCGCGGCTTTAAAGCCTGAGCCTGAGAGCACGTCGTCCACAACCCGGCCAGCTTCAAGGTAAATCTTCGCCATACAAGCTTAGCACGCGCTTAGCACGCTTGGCACAAACAGGATCGCGTGAACTCTGTGAAGCTTCGGCGCTGTCTGCGTGGCTGGAAGTACCTAAATGCCGGCTTGTGCCAGATCTTGGTTGCTTTCTCATTGTCTCCGGCTCTGCGCTCGAGCCCCTGGCTTAGCGACACTCGCTTTTTTTAAGGAGGCGACCAGAGGAACAGCAAAATCTTCTGCCGTGCTTCTGCCAAGCACTGCCAAGAAACGAATGGCTTTTAACATCTTTTAACATCGGCAGCCCCCCGTTCCAGATATGCCCCAGAGAGTATTCCGAACTCCCGGGCACCATGGTCTATCCACCCTCGCACATATCTCTCGGGTTGAGGCTTCTCTGTGTCTAAAAGCATCAAGCTTTGCATGCAAATTGCAAACCTGCACGGCGTGGGAGAATCACGTCAAGCACTCTCTTCGAGAGGCCTTGAAGAAAGCATCGCCCTGAATGTGCAGTCAAAGGAACAAACTAATTTTGGGTCTCCGGACTCATAGGAGACATTAGGAGACCCGGAGACCCTCGTGCAATTGGGGATCACCTACTTCATCCTACTTCCCTATCTATGACCTCATCTGGTGGCTCTCAGGTTGGTCAGGTTGGTAATGACAGCCGAAGGTAGGGTGGGCAAGTTGTCGCGCAGGGATGGTCGACTGCCACTTCCTCGCCGCCTGTTCCGCATTTCTTCCAAAATCTCCAGGACATCTTTCCTGAGCATGTCGCGCAACATCGCGACGATGGCAACGGCCAATGAAGTGACAGCACAAGCATTGCTGAGCAAGCTGCATCTTGTTCATTATGTCCTTAATGTCCATCTGCATGACCTGCCACATGCTTGCTAAAACTGTATCTACAAATACAGACGGCTCCTTTTTCTCTCCCACACCCGCCCACGTCCATGAAGCCTACGTCTGGCAAGGCATTTTGGCATGTGTTACGTGTGCCAGCGTCCTGGAGTTGCATGTCTTGGAGCTGCATGTGCGATGAGATAGATGATGTTCTGAGCACTGCTAAACTTGATGCTCGCCCTCTTAAATTATCAAAGTTCAAAAAATCCTCGGACTAACAACTCCAGACTGGGCAACACAAAACTTACATCGGGCAAGGGGGGCACCCAAAACTAAGTTCGTCTAAGCCACCTGTTTTGTACCAAGTCCGCGCTATCGACTCTTGCAAAAGTTCGCAGCGCCCGGTTCTGCACCACTGAGTTCGTGGAAAGGGTGCCTGTTGCCCATCAGACAGTTTCCTCCGTGTTCCTGACAACGTCAACAAAAGTTTTCGGACTGACAAGTCGGAAAAAACAAACTCAACATTTTTGGGATTAACAATCCCAAAACCGAGCAAGGGTTAGGTTCCGACACAATCGTGGAACTTCGGAAGTAAAACTCATCAAAGTCGAAGTTCAATGCATAAAGACCTTCTCATTGACGCGAAAACTTGTTGGTGTCCCCTTTTCAAGCTTAGAGCATCCTGATGAAACAAACTCAACATAAGTTGCTCTGTGAAATCGCGGGATGCACGGGCCTCCCAGCAGCTGTTCTTCACGCGTAGAATGCTTCTAGTCTGTAACCAACCTCTCGTTAGAGCCTCTTTGTACCGCGATGGACCTGCTGATTGTGGCTCAACTTGATACCCTCGTGCTTTGTGGCCTTGTTTAGGCCGAACTAGAATTCATGACATGCACCCGAAACTCTAACTAATTTTGGCATGGAGATTGAGAGTTACAATGCTGCTCCACTTGCACGTTGGGATCCTAATTGAAAAATGGTCGGTCGTTTCAATAGATTTGACCTGGAAGTGGTTTGAGCTGGCTTTCAACCAACAACATAGGGTGCTGTTCAACAAGGGTATAACGGTAAAACATTCTTGAATTCTTGCAAAAGCTCCCTTGAAGATGACAAAAACCAACCACTTCAAAGAGGCCAGCGAAGCCAAAACAAGAGCATCGCTTCCAAGACTATGAGCGCTGCACGTATAGAGTTGTGGCTTCTACGCTGATCCATTTTCTACCTGCTTCTCAGGGGTTCTGAACCTACAAGCTTCAGCATTGAAGCAGTTGCGGACATAACTACTATGGTTAACTCACGCCTGATCGAAGGTCGAATTGATACTTGTTACTTGATGCTCTCTTTTCGCCACCCACATATATGCACAAGGGGGAAGCAAACAGATTTGTACATATATATGTATGTATGTGTATATGTATACGTACAGGTGTGTATGTGCATGTATATACATATATAATCGATTTATTGTTTTTCTTTTTGTGTATATACACACACTTGGCTGTCCCCCCCTCCCCCCTCCCCCCCCGCCCCCACTCCCCCCCACCCACCCCCCCGCTACCATTCCCCTTCCCGCCTAATGTTCTTGAGCGCAAGGTTTAGTGCGCGTTCCAGTGCATGCCCAACCCCCCCTATTCCCCCCGGCGCCCCGTACCTCCCCCCTCCCCCGCCCACCGCCAACCCCCCCTCCTCTGCCTCCCCCCCTGCCAAGACCTCCAGCGCGCGCTGGCCGCGCTCCTTCTCTGGGGTCGGCGGCACTGGCGGTAGCCGTTACATCCAGCCTGGCCAGTGCGGAGCACGGCTAGCCTAAAGGCTTGCCTTTATGCGGGCGCCGCCCGTGCCGCCGACCGCCCGGAAAATGGCATGTCTCCTTGCATGAGGCTCCGGGCAGAGCCCCGGGAGGGCTCCGAGCGGGATCCCAAACGCGAATGCGTGGAAGTGCCGAAAACATCGTAAATACCATGTTTTTTGCGTTTTTGGAGGGCCGCCAAACGCCCTGCAGGGCTCATGATGCGTGACCCGGCGCGCATCATCGACCCTGCTTTTTGACGTTGGGCGAACATGCGAAAAAAGACCTGAAACCTCAAGTTTTGGGGGGGGTACCCCCCCCAACAGGGGCGAGCATCATGAGCATCAGCGACCCCCCCCGGGGCCAGGGCCCGGGCACCTCAATAAAGCCAGAAAACACCATAAATACCGCGTTTTTCGTGTGTTTCGACACACACCTCCTTTCGGGGCACTGCCGCGCCTCTACGGTGAGCATCATTGATGCCCAAGGCCTCGGGGGCGTCAGCCGACGTCCGCGAGACGCACCCGCGGCCCGCGGGTGCGCATCATGGGCCCTTCATTTCTCCAGGGCCCTCGGGTCCCGGCTCCAGAGCCTCGCTGATGCTCATGAGGGCCTCGCTGATGTTCATGATGCTCGCTTGGGGGGGGGGGGGGTTCCGAGGGGCCGAAAACGTGGTAAATACCGTGTTTTTTGCGTGTTGCGCGAAAAGCTGTTCAAAAACTCCTCGTTATGGCTGCCGTGTATGCACGCAGCGCCAAACCTCGGAGAAAGCATGGTTTTTCTCGAGCAAACCTTGGTTTCGTCGTGTTTTGGGCGTGTGTTTCGCGACTTTCGGCCCCCACCCCCAAGCCGCTGATGCCAATGATGCTGTGGCGCGCGCACGCGCACGCGCGCGCACGTGCACGCGCACGCGCACGCAGAGGATTATACATAGGGTTTCGGCTGTCGCTTCCTGTTCTTTCTTCTCTTCTGCTTCCTGTTCATTCTTTCTTTGTTGTCTTTTCTTATTATTCCTTTGCTTCTTTCTTTTCTTCTTCTTCTCCTCATGCTTCTTAATCTTATTCTTCTGTTTCTTCCTTTTTTCTTATTCTTCTTCTTCTTCTTCTTCTTCTTCTTCTTCTTCTTCTTCTTCTTCTTCTTCTTCTTCTTCTTCTTCTTCTTCTTCTTCTTCTTCTTCTTCTTCTTCTTCTTCTTCTTCTTCTTATTCTTCTTCTTCTTCTTCTTCTTCTTCTTATTCTTATTCTTCTTCCTGTTCTTCTTCTTCTTCTTGATCTTCTTCTTATTATTATTCTTCTTCTTCTTCTTCTTATTCTTCTTCTTCTTCTTCTTCTTCTTCTTCTTCTTCTTCTTCTTCTTCTTCTTCTTCTTCTTCTTCTTCTTCTTCTTCTTCTTCTTCTTCTTCTTCTTCTTCTTCTTCTTCTTCTTCTTCTTCGTCTTCTTCGTCTTCTTCTTCTTCTTCTTATTTCTCTTCTTCTTATTTCTCTTCTTCTTCTTTTTATTTACCATTTCTTCTTGTTATTCTTCTTTCTTTTCTTTTCTTCTTCTTCTTCTGTTTATTATTCTTTCTTTTCTTCTTCTTCTTCAGTTTGTTCTTCTTTCTCTTCTTCTTCTTCTTCTTCTTCTTCCTTTTCTTCTTCTTTCTTTTCTTCTTCTTCTTCTTTCTCTTCTTCTTCTTTTTTCTTTTTTCCTTTCTTCTTGAAACCCAAACCCGAGCTTCAGCTTTCAGACGGCCAGGCCGGCCCGTGCCGCAAGGCCTGTAGATATGTATCTACTGTACTATGTATGATATATATATATATATATATATATATTTATAATAATAATAATAATAATAATAATAATAATAATAATAATCATAATCATAATCATAATAATCATAATCAGAATCATAATCATAAATATACATACATACGTAGTACATGCAGGGCAGCTACAGGCAGTAGACAGCTTCGTCACAGCTGATCTGGCGATTTTCTTCATGGTTGCTGCGCACCTGGGTGTGCAGAGTTGTAGCTTCCCCCGACAAGCGGTAGCAGCCGGACACGAATTCATCAATGTTGACGCCTTCGGATCCGTCGCCTGAGATGCTCATCCACTCCAGGCTATTTGTGGCATCTACTGTGGAGCGTCGTAAGCACCAGGCCTTCTCGGCGGTTTCTCAAAAAGCTGACACACGCAACCAAAAAGAAAAGTCACGTGAAAGAGCATCTGGAGGCCGAGGGGCTGTCCAACATTCTGAAAAGGGTCTTGGCATCACTGACGTCAAGCTTGAGTGTGTTGAAGTAGGCAATTACCGCCTCGTGGTTCCTTAGATAATGGCACATCAAGACGAGAAACCCTCAGTGGGCAAGAACCAACCATCTGCATTCTGCATTTGCCGCCAGATTTCAGCTGGCTCTCGAACTCCTCCTGCGTCACCGTGCCATCTCCGCTGGAATCTAGCTCGCTGAAAACATCCCTGATCCAGTTCATGCCTTAGCGCAATGGGGCTGAGAAGCAACTGAGTGCCGATGATTGAATCATCGCAATCTCTCACATTCGCAAGCAAGCCGGGTGTCGCAATCTCTTATTGCGCAACTCCTCCTGAACAGCCAGCTCTTTGTCGGACTGGTTCTTCTCAATGGCCGTGTCGACAAAAACGCCTGCTCTGGCAGAAGACGAAAAAATGATGAAGCCATCCATGCAGAGACGACAGACAGAGCAGCAGAGAGAGGTCAAGCGCATCCAAAGGTGCGCCTGTCACTACGTTGACCACTGCAAAGACGGCAAAAGTCACGAAGAATAGGAAGAGTGACCTGGACCACTTGCGAGCCCTTGCGACACCAATTCAGAAGATCTGCGCTCGTCTGGAATGTTGGAACTTTAGAGCTCGTGCATCCCGCCACATTTTGCCAGCTCAGGTGCGGGTACGGCCAAGGCAGTTTGTCTGCCAGCACATGGAAATACCTCATTGAAACTACAAGCAGTCGCAGGACCAGGACCAAAACAAAGCCTCTTGTTTGCACTCCATGTCTACAAACTCGCAGCCGAGAAGCACCGTCCAGTCTTCCCCTCCGGACATGGAGCTGTAGAGTGTCAGAATGGAGCTGGAGAGGGATCCAAAGTACCTCGAAACAGCAGCATCTAACCAAGCTGCATAGCGGGCATAGCGCCCAAGCTCATCCCTGACGGCTCATGGCAACATGGGCTGGTCGTGTTCAGTGGTACTTCTTGAGGTCTTCAGTGCCCTCTGCATTCTTTGGCAACGACTCGAGCTCCATCGTTACCTTTGTCAGTCTGACCAGTAGCCAGCACACAGGTGTGCAAGGCTGCCACGAGGCTGGAGACCGGCTGCAAGCTTTCAACAACTTTCAAGACACATGCCATGAGAAATTACGAGCTGGTCACTGCACTGGTGAAGCTGATTCCAAAGACCTGGTCTTCGTCAGGTATCATGCAAGCATCGCTGCTATGATGCACAAGCTTCAAGCAAGATCAAGCCAGGCCACGTAGAGCATGACACAGAGCACAAGAGTGACCCAAAGCAAATTGCGAGCCTCAAAATACAACCCAAACTCCAGCAGGAAAGTTCACATGGCACATGGTAGCCAATCTACAGCATTATCCAGCTCTTTGCATGCGGGCATCTGAGCTGACAATAGAAGCCACCATTAAGCGAAGCTCTCGGAAAGCCTGTCATCGGCCATCAGGCCCACCACTGAGCAGCAACGACAGCAAAAAGGTCGGGCTGAGCCGAACTCTGCCGAACTCTGCTACGTTCAAGAATCTAACCAGGCACTAACCCGACAATGACGGGGCCAGAATCTTGCCTTGAGCACCCGGATTACCTCAGCTCCAGCAAGTTGCTGCGTTCGATGTCAACATTGACAGCGACTCGTAGAAAATTGTTCCTAGTTGAAGAGCGCACAGGGCACTTCTTAGCATTGAGCAGTCTCAAACAGGGACCAAGCTGCCCTGGCGATGCGCACTACTCGCAACACGCGAATCATCCTCACAACCTTGGCAGAGCAGTTTCAGCAGAATCGGAGATCGAACGTACTCGAACGTGTCATATCGGTAGCTCTTCAGCCCGTGACTGAAAAGTTCGTGAGCAGCAAGCCGGTCTCAGAGCCTGCCATGACGAGGGTCTCTGTGACCACCTCCATGCAACCAATAGCCACCACGAAGACGTCCAGGAGATTCCAGTGCATCTCCTGGCCGAGGCGCAACATGATGCATTTAGCCAGCTTTTTTTCTGCAGGTGCCGAAAGTCGTCAATGCAAGCGAGCTGCTTCACTGCAAATGAAATAAACGAAACCGTCGGCGACCCATCGCATGACCAAGTCCAGGAAGAATGCGACAAAAAACATGATCTGCGCAACCTCTCCAGGACTCCAGGACAAAACGCGAGGAAGCAGGACGGGGGAAGCAGGCTGGTGCCGCAAAAGGCTGCTCAAACACGCTGCGAAAGACACGCCAAAGCACTTAGAACATGACGGAAGGGTTCAGGGATGTTGCGGGTAATGGCGTTGGGCAGGGTTGTGTCCAACTTAAGGCAAGTTGCATAGAAGAACATGTGCTCAAAGCCCTGATCGGGTTGGTGGACAGTGGCGGCCAAATGCTCCTAGCACGAAGCCAAACAAGAGAGAAACCGACGACAGATGCAACACTCTATACCGTCTATGCCTTAGTGCCTTAGTGCCTTAGTGCGCCAGCACGTGGTGTGCAACAAATCAGTGGAGTCTCGGTTTGCCAGCCGACAAAGATAGCGTTCAGCAAAATCAGTATGGCGCCTTGGCAGGCCACAAGCCTGGACTCGTCACGAAACCGCCCACATTGCTCTACAGCATCCTTCTTCCAAGTGGCTGTACATCTCATATGCGGTGCTGTAGACGCACGTCTGCAACCAACTCTGCTGTCCTTCGGCATTGTGGGTGGTCCTTAGCAGCAAAGTATGTTGGAGAAGGAGCAGACCTTTTGCCCGCTTGGTGCACAATCGAAAATTATCTCAGCGGCTTGATGATCTTCTTACGCGATGTTTGTGCTCGAGTCTTCTTCCTGTCAGAACAATGCCGCTTTTTTCAAGCTCACGATCTCAAGGCTCTCAAGGCTCTCACCCAAGATAAACCTCTGAAAGGCGCAAGGCCCGCTGGCTGATGAGCTGACCCACGCAGCGCGGCAAACGAACGCTGGCTCCCTAATGCTCTAAGTAGCCTGCCCCTACCGCCCTAAGATAGCGCCTGAAGCAAGATGCTTTTGAGGATGTCCTCAAAGGGCACAAAAATAGGAATTGCGGAGGAGGGAAGGACTTCTCTCTGAGAGTCGCACCTGCGATCTTGTCCGGAGACCTGGTTGTTGTCGTGCGGCGGTAGAGGCGTAAAGGGTACAAGAACCAAGAAGTCCAAAAGCAGCCTTATCAGCCTAAGAACCTCCAACGTCTCAAGGCATAAGGCAAACTCCCGCCCAAATCGAACACCGTTGAAGAAGCAAAAGCTATGCAAGATTTAGTGGACTCGGGGCTTCCTGGCCACGAGGCTCCCCCAGCAAATTGCAACAGTAGCTGAAGCCTGTATCGTTGCACCATGTTCTATGTTGTACCAATCGCCACCCAGCAAATCCCTAAGCCTATCCATTGTTCCCTGTGCTGCATTCGAGCGTCTTTGGAGGAGGCACGCGACGACTCTCCAGTGGATGACTGCGACGATCTGGCACTGGCCGGTGGCGGGTCCGGATCTTCAGCAAGTGGTAGAACCGGTATGTACTCCTTCTGCTCGAAAGCCTCAACTTGACACATAAAAACATTCCTATGGTCCCTTTTCTCCATTGGAGAACCTCACGTGCGTGGACAGCACGCGTCACTTAGGCGCATGTGATGCAGCACATGGATGCCAAGAGGCGGCATTTCCGCTGACCATACCTGCCAGCAAGTGAAGCCCAAAAAAAAAACAGAAAGCATCTGTGGGCAATGAGACGCCAGGAGAGCCTGGGATATCTTGCGAATCTGGAGGCTCAAAAGCCAACTTCTGTGAGCGTGATGGCGAAGGCACTCCGGGAGCTTCGTGTGCCTCGAGACGAGGAGTGCCAGCCAATTGTCGAACACTCGATTTCCTATTTACGAAAATTGTCCTTAGACCATGGCAGTCTGGCACAGCAAAACACAGCAAAATTGGACAGCTACACCATGCAACGTGTTCTTGCCTCACTCTGGCGGGACCCATGCTTCAGCATCGACGGCACATCCGCATCCGCATCTCCAGGCCTGAGGCATGGCTGTCTGCAGGGCCTTGTATTGCAAGCTCACAACTTCGTCGTGAACGCGAGGACCTCACAAACATGAAGACAAGCGGCCGCAAACTGCACTGCAAGCGCTTCAGCACCATCTGCAACTCCAGGGCATGTCTCCTTAGCGTGACCCCTTGCGCAACTTACCGCCGCACTGCTACGTACAGGTACTTACATGCTACCGAACACCCAGTCACACTACGTTCTGTCACGTACACGCGGACCCAGCCAGACAGTCCAAATTCTCGCAAAAGTTGAAGGAAGGCTCTGTGACAATGAAGAGATCTCTGCGGCAGCCTCTTCCACGACCACCAGGTCTAGATCTGCAGACGTCATCCTGTACTCGATTGAGCAAAGAATTGGATTCGTGGATTCGCTGTCAGCATCTTTGCGGCAAAGTGGCAAGTCGGAAGCGCTAAGACTTGCCGCCCCCTCCCCGGCTTGGCGAAGGAACTTACGAGCCCCGCTTGTTGCGCTGGCTTGGGGCTTCAACATGAACTTACACGATGCTCCACCTATTGGTTGAAATATGTTGAAATCCTTTCTTCATGGATGCATATGGATGCTAGACAGCGCTCCCTGCTTGGCAGGGAGAAACTGCCTTGAGCCACCATTAAGCTTAAGCGGAGACGAAGTAAGACTGAGTTGAGTGGTATGCAGAGTGAGTAAATCTGTTGTTTGTTCGATGAGCAATTACCTGTGGGCGCTTTAAGGAGAATATTTTTTGTCGAAAGTGGCAATCCCTTGGCAGCTTCCAAGTCTTGTGGAATTCAACGCTCCTGAGACAAGTGGAGGATGTCCGCATCCCAATGGTTGTGTGGGTGGAGCGCTCATGATGTCTCGTTGACATTTTAGCTCCGTTCTTTGCAAAGCACAATAGAACTGCAGGCAGCAGCTTGCGGTTCGGGCGGTCTCTGTTTCCTGCAGTCAGTCTAAGCAGCCATGGGCCGGCGCGGCGGCCGCACAAAACGCCGAAGCACACAGACCAGAGACTCATGCCCCCCCCCCCCCCCAAAAAAAAAGAAAAAGCGTGTCGCAAGGCAACACTACATCCAGGCAGTTTTTGCCATGCCTAGGTGACTGATGTCACTCCACGGAGTTCAGGGTTTAAAAAGATGTGGGACTTGTACTGTGCCCCCTTGGCTTTGCTTCTGGAAACTCGTGGGTGGGAACGAGCTGCACCGAATCTCGGTCGCGTAGTGAAATAGCAATACTGTCCATGGCAGACGGTTGCGGACGGGAAACATACACCAGGGAACGAAGATGAACACAGCGCAATCGACCGACTCCGAAACCTCAAATCATTCAACCCGCCGCGTCGCCCATGCCCTTGGCTGAAAGTACGATTGAGCGTTTATGCATCCCGGCCCTCGTAACAGGTCTCTGTCTGCATGCCGACAACATCAGCCAATCAACACGCAGCTCCTTTTTCAATGTTCATAAGTTGACGCTCCATGTCATGCTTGGTCTAAGACACGATGACCCTATGAGCTGTCGCTGGCGGCTGCATCCTCCTCAGGCTCTTGATTCGAGCCTCAGAATTGAAGCAAACGAAGTGACATGCAGATGTGGCTCACTACACTGTCTCTGGCGAGCGCCTCATTCAAGACCCCCTGAGTCTCCAGCCCTGGGCTGCCTCAGGCGCCGCCTCCTGAGCACTGTACACTACATCCATCTGACTGATCAGCAACACTGACGCAAACCACATCTCCTGTCTGACGGCAACACTATGTGACTATACTTGACGCTTGAGCAGTCTGGCCTCCACTTCCATGTCTGCTGCACTGGAACCTGCTCCTTCGAACCAACACACTCTCACAGCAAAGGGTGCCGCATCTCACTCAGAAAGAGAGGTGCACCCAACGGGGCCTTTCGAATCGGGCTGCTCCTGACGCGGAACCCAATTGGAGCGGAGCCAAAACTTCATCGGACATGACACAGTCTGACCCGTGACTCAGTACCTTGGCGTCGCCATCCGCTGCTGCCGCGCTGGCTTTGGCAGCCTGCAGGAGAGCATTCCTAAGTTCCTAAGCCACTGCCCGCGCAAGGAATGAGGTGGCTTGCGCATGTGCCTCATGGCGGAATTGCATTCTGAGCGTGGCAATCTTGTTTTTCAGGGCATCGCGCGACTCCTCGAGCCTAAGCACAGATATGAGAGTATCAAAACCCGACGACACGCAAGTGTTTTAGGGCAAGCACTGCTTCTCTGTATCACGAGTATGTTTGGCTGGAAGGAAGAAGATGGTAGGCTGCACCTGCCCAAAGGAAGTATCTTCTCATTGCTCGTGTGTTGCAGCCGGGCGCCTCTGTTCTGATGTAGTTCATCATGAGCGAATAGTGGTTCCTGACGACTTTGCAGCCAAACTGCAAGCAACATTCAAACAACCAATGTTGTAAGTCAGTTGGAGGACTTTCTATGTCTTCATCACTTGGCCTTGCGCTTACCCTTGCGCCCTGTGGTGTTGGCCACAGTCCCAGCCGCATGTTTAATTGAGCAACACCTAAAATCCTAATGGCAGTTCTGAACGCTGCACAACAACCCTCAAACGCATCCAAGCCGCTCCAGGCGGCGCTGCAGAAGAAGAACTTCCTGGGCGGCGAGGGCATTACGTGCAGGCTTCACATGGTCCATCTTCAGATTGCGTAGATAGCTATATTTATAGACCTGCAGGCCCTGGGATACAGGAGGGCCTGTAACATGTGGATGGCTTCAACAACAGAACGAAGCCATCGTGACAGTCTAAAAATGCATCTTGGCCTTCTCCTCGATCTGTTTTTCGATCTCTGCCGCCTGAGAAGCTGGCTAGGCTGGCTAGCCTGCTTGAGCATGTGATCACGTCGGTTCTTCAATGCCTTCGCCTGTTCCTCTACGAGCTGCTTCTCAAACCTTGGCCAGTGCCACCACAGGCCAACTCACATCAGTCCCAACAGCCTTAATTGAACCTACGGGGAACAGCACCACGCAGCTGCAACAGCAACAGCCCTTCTCTCAAACCCAACAGCATTCCACACCTTCTGCCTTATGCTGCATCCTGAAAGCTGTCCTTTCCTGAACTCCTTGATGTTCATCTTGTTGAGGTTGACCTTGTCCTCGACACGGCCCATGGCTTTCTGCTGCAGCTCACCCATCTTGCTGGTCTTCTCCTTCTGCAACCTGGCACGAAGAACACGATGGCTTCCACTCGCTGCATGTACCCTTTTGCTGCCTGGACTAGCCTCAGCTTGAGCGTCTTAATACCCGACCTCTTAGCACAATGCCATGTACGCAGTTGTTTTTGTGCCTCCCGTCGCAGGTGAGGTTTCGAAGTTCCGCTCTGTCTAGCAGAGTCTAGCGCAGTTGCGGGTGTTTGACGTTGTTTGACCATCAGCGTCGCACGCAGCTGGCAACGCTAGCTCATCCACTTCAACGCTCACTCTTGCACCAAGCCGGCAAGGCAACTGTCCCGATGGCCGCAAGTCCGGCTTTTTGCTCAGACAGCAAAGCGAGGATAGCGAGGTTCAGGACATGAAGCGTGTTTGTGATTCATATCTAGAAAGGCTGCACACTGGTCGCAGTTGAAAACGGTTCTTAAGGGTTCTGACTCTGCTCGGAAAGCATGGTGGAGCGCGTAGGGCCTTAGGGCGTGCCATCCTCAAGACCCATGACAGCATCTTGAGCTTCGGCCAGGAACACAATCGAGCTTCGAGGTCTTCCCTACAATCAAACTGGCCCAAGAGCCCAACAAGCAAAGTGGTCTTTACAGCGTGAGGTGAGTGAAGTCAATATGTCTAGAATCGGCAAACAACCTGCCCTCTTTCACTGCTCCACTTGGCTCACTTGCCAAGCACACGATAGTACCACGGAAGCGTCCCGCCTGTCTTTAGCGGAGTGCAGATGGCCCAAGAGCTTCCCGAACAAATTGCGGCTTCTTGGGTCCGTCTTCGTTGGCCGTCCCTCTTTCCTTCGTCGTTCCTAAGCTTGTTGCGTCTTCCACAAAAGGTGTCGCAAACAAAGGAAGCACTCAACGAAGCAAAAAGCATCTCCGAGCTTCGAGGTCTTCCTCCCTCTTGCGTTTCTTCGTATCTTCGCTCTCCTCCTCCTTCTTTTCTTCCTTGTCCTCGTCCTTCTTCTCGTCCCCATCTTCCTGGACATAAGACTGACACCACATCACAAGATGTCTTGAAAAGGCAAGGGAACGCTTGAGAGCACCTCACGCAACAGCACAGGCCCTTCTGGAAGCACCTTCTCGCCATCCTCTTTCTTCTCATCTTGGGCATGGAGTGCCGTCAATCTCGCCCTCTCTGCCTCTTCACCTCAAGAAGCACAAAGTGGCAATCCCGAGAACTAGCAGCAACAAGCAGGCAAAGGCAAAGGTATCCCGTCTTCTGGGCGATGGACCAAAAATGCGCTTTTGGGTGGATTCCATCTTCCGAATGTTGTCATCCAACTTCACCTCTCAAAGTGGTGTATTGGAGGCTCCCTATGTCTCAAAGGTTTCAAGCCTTGTCTCGGCGCAGCTCTTGGATCTGCCGCTCCAGCTCTCGCCGGGAGATCTCATTGCCATCAGACCTGTACAGCATCCGCGAGAACCTTGTTTCAAAACATCCGACAGCCAAGTCCCCGGCATAGCCGCAGCGCCCGCGCTTTCTTTGCCTGAAGACACGCCACGTGGCTCCGAGTGGCACGATCACAAGGTCGACAAGCTCAGCTCTTCCGACAAGCATGTGGCAAAAAAAACGGGTTCGAGGCCCCTGCGCGAGGCGATGCTTCAGGAGGCCACTCTGAGGAGGGTTCTCGAGCCCTCATTGCGGTCAAACCCTCAGGTGAGCAATCATGTGCACCTTCATGCATCCATGCGCACCGTCAACGACCACAAAACCGATTCGAACCACTCTTGCACGGTCTTGCATTGTCTCCCCCGACTGCAATGACGGCAGCATGTAGTTCAGGCGGTGCACTTTGGCACAGGCTGCAAGTTGCTCAGCTTGTTTGCGGCTCAGGGAGCATGCCGTCCTCTTTCTGCAGAGGGTGCATCAGAACTAGGCAGCTGTTACCATCTGCTACCCCGAGGTCCTCCCAGATACTGGTTCCACAATCTGCCAATGCCACCCTGCAGTTCTCACATTGCATGCAAAATCCAATCAATATTCGAAACCATAGAATGATATTGATCGAATGCACATCAAACCATTGAGTGCCAAAAGCAATAGCGCATTAGAAGTACCATCAGCATCCATACAGACATGTGAGGGTGTTGTGTAGGCCTAAAGGGTTCCTTTGGGGTACGGTTCATGGTTCACGGGGTGGTTGCCGCTTGGCACGCGCGCTCATGTGATGCAGGCGCCTTCGTCGGAAGTGGCAGGCGGCTCGCCAGAAGCTCTCGCAGTCAAATCCATGATTCTGGGGGCAGCTGCTGACAAGAAATCCAGCCAGCCTGCAAACTAGTGCAAGGCAACTACGACTTGCCCCGGTGCTCCATCCTAACTACACTACATAAACTACATTGTTCATTAGAGAGCCTCGAAACAACTCCGATCCCGACTCCTTGCCGCTGCACTCGTTCGTGGGCCCCGACGACTCGCTGTCGTCGGGTCTGCGGCCCTGCTGCGTCGACAACCACCAAAACCCAGTGAGCAGTAGAAGGAAAGTGTTGGGATAGCCCTGCTCCCGTGGCAGTTGCCTCTGGCATGCTCTTCCAAACGCTTTAATCTCCAATGCAAACGTGCGCACATCTGATCCCAACTGCAGCCAACGGTTCACCATGACGTCCTTGGCCTTGGCATCTGGATCACGGCACGTCTCGACCACATCAAGAAGAAGACCAGTTTTCCTGTGCCGCACGATGACCCGAGGTATCCGTGCTGCCATTACAGATTCCGATAGCTCGAAGGCCGGCAACTTCTGGTTTCGCAGAGCCTTCAGTAGCTGATGGACGGGTTTGGATGACAAGATATCCACGTCCGAGGCATCATCCGCCAAACCCAGCACCTGGCTTCCATGGAGCTCGGCACCGCTGTCGAAGTGCTGGAAAGCTCGAAAAGCGCAAGAGACTCTTGAAGAGACTCTTGAGGTCTGCGAGACCCCAGCCTGGGGGGCCTCGGCGTCGCTGGCATCGCCTGCATCGCTGGCATCGCTGGCGTCGCTGCTCCCGCTATCCTCGCTGCTATTTTCGTAGTTTGCCAACGTGGCCAACCCCGTCATCCCCTCCATCCTGACTCCACCTCTTCAGGAGTGCTGCAAGTGGCCCAGTAGGCCCTTGAGAGACGCGTGTCAGCAGAGTCCGAGAGTAGCAAGCTACTTCTGCTTTCATGTTACAAACCTCAAGAGCACACAGCCAGTTCTAGTACATCCATACGTTGTGCATCTTTCTTCCCGTGAACCTCCCCGAACCAATTCCAAGGATGAGATCACAGGCAAAGAGCTAGGATTCCAAGGGTGTGAACGTTCATCTGGTGCGGGTTCATGAGTCTAATGATGTTTACTGATGATGTAGATCCAGGGTCCAGAAACGTTCTTCCAGCGCCCCGGACAGAGAGTAGCTGTAACGTCAAGTGACGATCTACTTCAGGAGGCACCAGACGCACTGGCCAGACAGAAACACCCGACATCCTCCCCCCAGCAACTTGTTTCCTGTCAGGCGGCCGCGTAGGCTGTACAGACTAAACGGGGCATCACTGCTCAGCACCTCACAGGCATGCGTGATCATGCGTGTCATGGAAGGTGGGAAGTCAGAAACAACTTCGGGCGATCGGAAGGCAACCAAAAAGTGAGGTCCCAAAGCTTCCCTAAACCCCTTGCATATCTGCAGGATATCTCCCATCCAATCTACAATGCACACCACAGCAGGGAAGGCCAATCCAAATCACATCCGCACCAGGAAGATTATCATGACTGTCCGCGCCATGAGGGGGACTGTCGAACAATGAGCCAGTCCCTAGTCTGGCTTCAAAGCCACTGCTTCCGATACTCTCGTGCCAAGCTTTCGCAGCCTAACTACAACGATGTCGAGTTTGCAGATGTTCTGCTGAACTTTCTGCGACTCCCAGTGCTTAGTCAGGTTAGTCCGAATTCAAGCGTATGACTCTATCCAGGCAGCGGCCTCGACACTTTGGACTTTGCAGCGCTCCTCGTTACGATGCAGGCCGCCTCGAGACAAGCAATGACCAAAATGACCAAGCAAGTCTTGGGGGGCGGGAAGTCTAGACGAGCAGCTGATTGATTTGCCACAGCGCCATTGCCAGTGCACAGGAAACTGGCAACCAGCCACCTGCAAATAGCTCAGCTTTCCCCCTTCAACGTGAAATGTCACAGTCTGTGTGCCTGAGAGCAACACTGCCATGTGCACCGCACCATGCTCCCAGCGATTTTCCGAGAAGGTGAGACACGAACGTTGTCTAAAGCACGTATATCAACCAGCCTCTCCGCGAGAAGGCTCAACTTTCGGAGATATGTACAGTGAACATCAAACCTTGAAGCCTGCCACGGCTCTCTCTTTGCAAGTTATGATGCCGCATGTCCTGTCAGACGATCTGCCAGAGCTGTTGGATGGTGGAGCCTTCCTGACCCAGCGGGGCGGCTACACAACACTGCGCAACCCTTCACAGTAAACGCCTTCAGCCGCTCCACCGCAAGCCCAAGCCTTACAAGCTTCGCCAGGCTTTGTGCGGCTGTTTAAGGACACTCGCCGAGAATCACAAGACACAGAATTCAGCTGGGTAGCTCGTTGTTGTAGATCGGCTCTCGGTCGATTTCCTTTTCACCATCCGGCCTCAGCTGACATCGGAGTACGGAGCGGGGCCGTTTATCCAGCACCCACTGCACCCATGCTGTGACCTCCCGCCCAATTCTCTGAGCATCGGGCTGGTATAGCAAGCAGGGCTCAATGTCATCGCCTTCCATGATTTGCACATCGTCCTGCATTCTGCATTCAGATGCACGGAGTTTCGCTGAACCGACGCCAGAGAACAGTCTTAATTTCTTCTTTGAGCATCGCAAGGCAGCCAGCCTCTTGTCTCGGCACGAAATTCTCCTTCGCATCAGACTGCTTGTCTTCAACGGAAAATTCAACTCCGAAGATTGGAGTCACGCTGAAGATCTTCCTCAGATTGCTGCAACATACTGCCTATGCTCGGCACTCATGCTCTCTCTCCATGTGTCGCATATAAGAGCTGGTGCTGAAAAGCCAAGACTCCACAGATTGTGAATTTGCGTGTACACCTCCAGAGTGCAGTGGTGACGGGTTGCGCAGTAGCTGATGCTTCTCGACACCCTGCTCTTGCTTGTCTCAACTTGTCTCAGATGCCCCAACCTCCTCCAGATGCTCCACCGGGTCAGCCCGGAAACCCAGGATGTAACCACCACCTGAGATTCAAACCCAGTTCCAGCACAACCTTCAAAGCATTGACAGAACATCAATACCACAGCATAGCCGGATGACTTGAGGCTGTAGTCTCTATGACCAGCGCTTGTCCAAACTTGGAGTTCCTCGGTGCCACCATTTGTCTGGCACAGGAAGACTTGAAACTCGAAACTGCGGTTTTAATAAGCAGTCTAATGCAGACCCAAAATCCGGACATTGATGCTTTTCATCTGCAGGTACGGGATGGACACCTGGACTGTCTTGGCCAAGACGCAGCATGGATCAACAGCTTGCCAGTCTGTAAGTCCCGAACATTAAAGTTCTCTGCCAGAACGGCAAACCAGACCGTGCGCACCTCATGCTAAACATCCCAAGGCAGGAACTTTTGGTCAAAAGCTGAATTTTCAAACGCGCTGCATTCGTAATGATGAAGGTGCCAAGGTTTCCTGGCAGTACCCAGTGGAAAGCAGCCACTCGGCCAAATGCTTGTACGATTCCACTGGCCAGGACTCCCCCAGAAAGGCAAGATGTAACGGCCTTGATCGGATGACAAGTTCCAGATCCCGTTGATTTTTTCGTAGACCTCTCAGCTCGGTTCCGCTTTCAGCTCAGTTCCATCTCAACAAGCACACAACCTCTGCCTAGAATCCTAGAAAGCGGTGTGCGCCTGCTCGTTCGGCAACATTATGAGCTCTTTGTCCCGAATGATGGCCCCACGCAGCTTCAAGTCCTCTGCGATGATGATACATCATGTCGCATCATGCTCGAGCACTGACAATCAAACTGGCCACAGAGATCGCCACAGCATTGCCAAGAATCTCTGTACAGCTTCGTGGTTTCATAGCTCTTGAAGACGGCCTGCAGGATCAAAGTGCGGTTGCCAACTGCCCACACAAGCTCGCGTCACACTCCCAGACTGCGGGTGCCTGGACTGTCGTGAAAAGGCGTGGGCTGTGTTTTACCTCAGTTTCGCAGTCGTGCACTTCTTTGGCAGAAGTTCAAAGATGCTCCGAGCTTGTCACCATGCTCAACATTCGAAGCTTATCTGCGAACTGCCGGATGGACAAGGAAGAGCAGAAGGAAGAGCAGAATCAAAAACCGAGCGGCAAGAGATGTGAAAATGAACTCGAAACGGGTGGAGTTGAACCGCGTCATGACCTGTGGCATGCTGAGAGTCGCTGTTAGAATCGCAGGATTGCATATTCAACAGTATTCAACGTCCGCTTTAAGGAGGGCACGTACAAAGCCTGGCTGCTCCCCCGCAGCTTGGAGTTTACCTAACCGCTCAAACGGGATTCTCTAATTCCGCTCACCATGCTCTGGTTGCAATCCAAGTTGCAGTCCGGATATTCACGCTCGAGACACAATTAAACCCAATACCTTGCAAAGCAGCTGCCTACGCATCAGCAACTTCGTTGTATGCCGCAGCTAAACAAGAACTGCAATCGACCACCAACAGTTCTCACATCGTGCGTGTCAGAGCGCTCAAGTTGGTCCTGGCATATTTGGCCGAGGTCCAAATTAGCCTGGAAGGCTGAGCTGAACATTCTGGACATTCTGGTTGCAATGATTCTCAAGCAAACTGTCGCCTCAGGTTTGTGACAATGAGGATGCCTCTCTCGCCGTTATTTCCTTTGGTGTCCTTCACTGGGCTGCATCTTTGTCGCTTCATGCCAACCAGCGGGGGCGGCGTTATGGCGAGTTGGGGGGGGGGGGGGGGGGGAGGTCCTCCACGGAGTTGATTGAATCAATCCTTGGATCCCGACAGCTTAGCTTCTAAGATTCTAATATAGTCTAATGTCTTGAACTACGATAGAGGCTGATGAGTGCCACACACTGCAATGCCTTCTGCAATCACAGCCGCTGAAACTCACCCTTGCGCAGCTTCAGCAACTGCGGCATCTGATCAAATTTGATCCTCAGAGGGCCAACGAGGAGACCAACATCCGATTCTTGATGAGTCGGGCGGGAGGGCCATTCTCATGCCAAGTGGTGGCAAGTGCAATACCAAGCGGCTCGCGATCCTGCCATACCTGTCAGGACCCTTAGGGCCCCATAGACGCGGCGACAACGTTTAGAGTTTGACATTGTGAGGCCTCTTCCTGCAGCTGGTCAGGCGCAGACATGGTGCCAGAGCCCTTGCCGGCTGCGCCTCACAAAGGCAGCTCTGTTTGCCTCGTTGCACGCCGAAGCTGACACCAGATTTTCAAGCGCCTGCCGTCTTGGAAGGCGCACCACCCGCTACATGTCCAGCCGCGTAGCTGGAGCCGCATCAGCCACGAACAATGCACAGCTGCATGCGTGAGTCGGTGTGCGACCCTGTGAGACACTCAGTTCAACGGACACATCGTTCATACCGTGACTTCCCCAAGGACACTCCAACACACCGCAACACACTGCAACACTCCGCAACACTCCGCAACACTGCACAATCCCAGAGCCTCAAGCTGGGCTCGGCAGCCAGAAGCCCAACCTTGGGTGGCAGTGGTGATGGCAGTTCCTTGCTTGTGCCTGAAGCCTATCATGCTGTGTGTGTGTGTGTGTTGCGCGCTTAAGCTATTAGCACTTTGGTCTTTTCCACTCCGCCCGCCAGTCTTGCATTACAGCCAGCTCCAGAGTTTCCGCGCGATCAGTTCGGCCATGATCAGGTATCCGTCTGAGCTGAAATGGAGACCATCGTACAAATGCCTGTGTGCAAGATGCAGCAGACCGCACCTACGTTCCAAGTGCATCTCATCTGATCAAGATCTGATCAAGTCGCTGCGTACCAATTGTGGTCAAATTCACGAAGAAGGATGGAAAGCCTCTGGGGCCAGGCTAACAACTTACAGTGACACTTCCTGCTCCGTCCCCAGCTCAGGACTTCGTTGAGCCCAGGCACGGTATGTCCGCTGAAGCTCGGCCAAGGCATTGTTCAATGCGGAGAGCTTGCGTGCCGTACCCACCTGACCGTCTAATTGTTGTGCGCCCTTTTAGTTGGGACCTGGCCTGGCTGAGCTGGCGGTGCCTGGGGTTTGAGAAAACGGGGCGGGGCCAGCACGCCAACAACAGCACCCCAGCCAGCAGCCAGCTCATGCATGGCCTGCGCAATTTTCCAAATTGCAGGATCCAGATCTAGAAGTTTTTGTGCTGGAGAGGCACGCGGGCCGTGGCACCGCAAAGGAGTTGTACGGCTGCAAGATGCCCAGGCCTTCATGTTCGAGACCGTGGAGGCCACTGGTACCTGTCAGGCCAAGCTCTCTGGGGAATGAGAGGATAACGAAGCACACAGCATGTCGCCTTGTGCAAGGGCCACCTCACCTGAGATTATTCTTGCGCGGGCCTGCTATGCTGTGTGTCCAACTCCGTAATTTTCCAGCAGGGGGCCCCATTACCCTAGCCGGATGCCCGACGAAGAGGGCTCAGCTGATGGCTGCTACACTGCTACATTTTGGAGACATCCGAGTGCCTGCATTCGTAAATCACTCATGACTTGCTCCTGTTGTTGAGTTTTCCTAAGGCGAATGTGTTTGAGTGTGTGTGTCCGTATGGATGCACAGGTGTGTGCGTGTGCGTGTGCGTGTGTGTGTGTGTGTGCGTGTGCGTGTGCGTGTGCGTGTGCGTGTGCGTGTGCGTGTGCGTGTGCGTGTGCGTGTGCGTGTGCGTGTGCGTGTGCTTGTGCGTGTGCGTGTGCGTGTGCGTGTGCGTGTGCGTGTGCGTGTGCGTGTGCGTGTGCGTGTGCGTGTGCGTGTGCGTGTGCGTGTGCGTGTGCGTGTGCGTGTGCGTGTGCGTGTGCGTGTGCGTGTGCGTGTGCGTGAGCGTGCGTGTGCGTGTGCGTGCGTGTGCGTGTGCGCGTGCGCGTGCGCGTGGGTGCGTGTGCGTGTGCGTGTGCGTGTGCGTGTGCGTGTGCGTGTGCGTGTGCGTGTGCGTGTGCGTGTGCGTGTGCGTGTGCGTGTGGGTGTGGGGGTGCGGGTGCGGGTGCGGGTGCGGGTGTGTGTGTGTGTGTGTGTGTGTGTGTGTGTGTGTGCGCGCGCGCGCGTGCACGCGCGTCTGTGCGCTTGTGCGTCTGTGCGTCTGTGCGTCTGCGCTTCTGTTCGTCTGTGCGTCTGTGTGTCTGTGTGTCTGTGCGTCTGTGTGTGTGTGTGTGTGTGCGTGTCTGTGCGTCTGTGTGTGTGCGTGTGCCGTGGGCGTGTGCGTGCGTTCGTGCGTTCGTGCGCTCGTGCGTTCGTGCGCTCGTGCGTTCGTTCGTGCGTGCGCTCTGTGTGTGTGTGGGCGCGCGCGCGCGCGCGCGCAAACGCGCCCGCACGCGGGTGCGGCCTCGTCCTTGAGATCGTTCGTGCCACCCATCAGAAGAACCACCGCAGGCAGGTCCTCTAAAACTCGAGCGCCCTGTAAACTGGCCAAACGGTGCCTCATGTTCCTCAGCTTCGCAAGAGATTCGCAAGCATCAAAACAAAGTCAATCGAAGCGGCGTGCCCATGATGACTCGCACTTGATGTCCAAGCTGCTCGGATGTTTCGCCCCACACCCCCGCAATTTCAACCTCCGCCGCACAAGAACATCAAAACGGCCTGCACACGTCATTCTATTTCATTCAATGTGGGCCTTCACTCCGAGCATTTCGGCCAAAAAGACTCCGTAGGGCACACTGCCATATCCAGCTGCGGTCAGTGAATCACCCATAGCCAGGATCGTGGCATTGCTGCGTAAGATCTGGGCTTCATGGAATGAATTGTCAACTCCTAGCCTTCCCTCGACTCTTGCACTAGCCTACCCTTGCTTGCAGGACCTCGGGGGTATGGAGCACGCAGTCCACAAGGTCGAGTAGCACCACCAACATTAGTCGCAGGGCCATGCGACCTGGCACACCCCGAGACCGGTCTTACCACGAGGATGCCCACGTCCTGAAAGGACAGCATCACCAGTACCACCGCCACCGCCACCGCCACATCTATCAAGCACGCATATGTACAAGCCTGAGCATCTTGAGCGGTGATATGGCCACAGGTAGATTCGAGTCGGAAAAGGAACCATCTGTGAAACCAGAAGCCTGATCGGAGACCTCTGGCTTTCACGATGTGGCCATTTGCTTAAACACGAGAAAACACTTGTCGTGGTACATGGTGCTGCTGATACTGCCAGCTGATCATCGCAAAGCTTGTAGTTAAGCCCGTGTGTTCAGAACTCAACGTCAATCACCGAGGCTCCCCGCAAGTCGACCTGGCAAGAACACTGGGGAAGAACTGTGGCGGGAGGCGGACACCTGATGGCAAGGTGACACGTTTCATCACGTTTCCAACAGCCAAGGTGGGCTGGAATCAACCTCCAGCGGCCCCGCCAAGTGCCAGGGATGGGGCCTGGGTCGTGCACCGATCTCTCATCTTGATCGCCCAATTCGTCAAGGAATCAAAATGGCATGTTGCAAAGGAGACAAGCGCTGAGTATCAGCAACTTGGTGCCAGTTGGTGTATGCCAGGCCGTCAGCACGCAACCTGCCGAGGACTTTGGACGGTCGCCCCGAGAGCGATGCTGAGCGAGATACTTGTTACATCTTGTTACCCACGCCTGCCGAAGGGTCGCTTGGCTGCCCAAGATCCGATGCGACAACCTCAAGCGAGCAACCAGGAAAACAAGTAAATAGCCAGCTCCCTGCAAGTCTGGAGCTCAGGGCTGGACAAGCACCTCTTCTAGTACCTAAGCCCCAAAGCCATCCTCCAGAATGCACAACATGTGATCAGAGGCCCCCTCACCCTGGTGCAGCCGAAGTGCCAACATCTGTGTGGGTTGCGAGGGGAAGACTGTCTCGGCTTTGCCGACTGACCATGACAAGTTCTCGAAGTCAAGGACAGTAAACGTAGGGAAAACACCCAGCAAAGTTCGGTCGACGAGCTTCCAAACCAGCACTTGACCATCTGAGGTGGAAGAGGCAACTTCAGTACTTGAGGCCCCGAGCGACACAAGTTGAGAGCAGGGCGTGTCTTGCGGCTTAGCAAACGTAAAGACTTCGCTGGCTTTGCTTCCCTGTACATGTGTGGAAGCGCCGCGCTCGGCAATCGCAAAGAGCGTGGAACCCACGGCCAAGATAATGCATGTTCTTGCCACTCGCGGGGCCTCGCAACACCACTCCTGCGGCTCTATACACGGGCATGCGGCCTGAGGGCAACCAGGCAAGTCGATAGTATGGACACTGGCACCGTCACTGGCATCCAGCATTTCAAGTCCGGCTCCGGTTCTTGGTACCAGAACTGATGCCCCAAAAAACTGCAGTGGTGTAACTGATGGAACATTCATAGACCAAAGTGGGGCAGAAAGGCCTGGACCCGCAATTTCCAATGTCAAATCCCACACACATAGCAGCCAAGCTGGGCCAGTCTGTATAGCAGCCAGGAAGTCTCCTTTTCTGCCCAAGTCAAGAGCAATGACTGGGCACCGAGTTCTGATGACACCTAGCTTGGCCATCTCCGGCATTCCCCACAGCCGTATACCGTGCTCGTGTCCTGTGGCCATGAGTCCAGGAGCGTCGGGGCACATGGCAGCACAAGACGCTTCCGATGTTGTGGCTGATGTGTAAGTTGAAAATGAAGCCGCGGCCGTGCCTTCACCACTGCCTGTAATCCAGGATGCAGCTAGTGCACGCGTTTGCCGACCAAGTTGCTGGCACCGATGAGCTACTTTGGCAGAACCCAGATGCAGACACGCAAGAAGATCTGCCCACAACAGAGATGCTCTTGCAAAGGAGAGCCAGCGATCCGGACCCTTTTCGAAGGGCAGTGGCATTGCTTCCCCGACTTCTGCAGAACCCAAGCAAAATAACGGAGCGGCGGCGGCCAAGCAGCACAGACCAGTCAGATCACAACTAAGAAGAATGCGGGCCAAGACCGCAGCTGGCAGGGTGGGCAACCCACTTGTTTGCCCTGTTACAGTTGGTGGCGATGTGTGCGGTGAGCCCGGAAGGTTGTGCAGCCTGGCCTCGGCTCAGTGACATTCAGGGAGAAGTTGCTTTCTGCAGAAGTACTTGTGGAACAAAGCTACGGCTGAATTGCAAGGATAAGGGACATGTCTGTCCCAAAGCACGTGCAGTTCGCCCCTGAGTGGCAGACAAGAAGGACCACAAGTTACAAGCATGTCCCGTGGCCATGTGCTCTGTATCAAGCTCTGACAAGGGGTTTCCAGGTAGGCTCTCAGATCTGGCTGATTTTGGCGTCTCCTGGCGCCTTGATGCCTGCTGGCCTTCTGTCTCGGCAGTCTGCCCTCACAAGCACATCCTTTTTTCACAAGGGACCGGCTGCCCTCATTGCCCAGAACATCCCCAAAAGCACATCCTGCCTTGTGAATCTCCGTAAAGACTGTGAAAGATCATGTGACACAAGCAACAGCAAACAAGTGTGCCGCATTCGCTCCTCGAGCACACAACCTCCCCACTTTGACACACCGCCCTGATGCACTTGAGGCCGCCACTCAGCTGTGCAAGAGATGCGCCATATTCTTTGCCAGCCACATGGCGGGCCTGTCCAAAGTTGGCAATGCTATTTTGCTGCACTGAAGCAGGGCATGCCAAGCTTAGAATCATTCGGGACTGCACATAAAGCTTTGGCGGCTGCGGCTGCCCCAGGGCGCCGAGACTTGTCCTTCACAGCGTGCCCAAACAGCCCGTGGCATCTGCTGAATGAGGCAAAAGGGCATGGCATGAAACATGGAATGTACCAATCCTGGCGGCTGCGCAATGAAGACAGGGACACAGAAGCAGTAGGCACTGATACATCCCTACCATCTGCATACCTTGTCGGTTGGGCGCCGCGTCGGTATTGAGGTCATTCACCCGCTGCAAGGACACCACGGGCGCACTCTACCATCACGTCCCAAGAGTCGAAGAGATGTCGCACCTCTGCAGCTTCCACCACCTTGATGCGGTTTGCTAAGCAGTTGGCATCATGCTGTTCACCGTATATCATATTCCATCAGCGCCCTGGGCTTCAAACGATGTTGAAGGCCTCGCTGGCTGTTGGGAAAGGGCCCACCTGGCAAAACTGCAGACCTACTGCAGAAAATCCACAAAGTCGTACATGGATAGCGTTCCAACAGCAACCTGCTCGCTTTGCAGCAGTGGCAAAACAATAAGCGGAAGCTTTTCAGCTCGCCGTGGATTGCACATCAGCCTTCTGACTGCTACGTTCATCCGGGAATGCGATTCTGTACATTTCGCCGAAGAGAGTCCTGCCAGAAAAAGAGAAATCGAAAACATCACGATACGCAACCTCCCTCTTCCTCCCTCCTCCTCCCTCCTCCTCTCCAAGCTCAAGCCCCACGCCTCGTCACATCGTCGGCTCGCTTTTGTAGTCCGGCCCGCTCCCTTGCGGAAGCCTGCGCCTTGGCCTCAGCGTGCGCTCTGAAGCATCGGCAATGTGCTTCAGCTGAGCCGACTACTAGACTACTGTATCCCACTGCTGCCAGGCCACCGCCTCCAAGGCCTCCTGCGCTGCACGGGCGCCTGCCAACGAAGCCTCGAAGCCGAAGCGCTCCAGCGATGTCTTTTGCGGACCCAGGGCCACCTGGATCCCCCCACAGCTCAGCTATGGTCCCTCAATGTCCCTCATCCACATCCCACCCTGGAACCCAGCCTTGGGCAAATGCCATCGAAACGCCTCCGCGTCCCAGCGCACATCACGCGCGAGCTTGGCGATCTGCTGCTGAAATCCGGGATCTCGGTAAGCTTCAAGCAAGGCATCCAGCAAATCCTTAGCCCGGGCAAACCACAAAATTCCATGGCGGCTTGCGGAGGCCAAGCATGACGCAAAGGAACGCAAAGGAACAGTTGCCCATCCAATGCCGGGGCTCAGATGCTCCGTCGTGAGTCAAGCACAAGTCCCCAGGCCTGGAACTTGCTGACGGATCTGAGCTGTCGCATGGTCTTTCCGTCAAGCTGTCGAAGTCAACGCTGAAGATGAGCTGGGCCTGGGTCCCACTGCGTAGTTCGCAAGTGCGCCAAAGGCTCAAAGGCTCAAAGGCTTTGCCAAAGACCAGCCTCGGCCTGCCCATCAAACAGCACCTGGCACCCCCGCATCCCGACTAGGCTGCGGGCTTGGATTTACAGATATCACTGACAAGAAGCTCAAAGCTCTCCTAGCTCATGAACTCACTCGTGAGCCAAGCTTGAAGTTTGGGCACAAAAGGGAGACAAAGGTAGGTGAAACCAGTAGTTGATGAGCGCAGGAATGTCGACCCACTTATCAGACCATCTTGCATCATGCACAAAGCCAACTTCTGTATCCCGATACGAGACTGAAACCTACAACCAACATTAAGAGCCTTGATGTCACCATCCTTGTCCACTTCAACGACGGTGCCCCCATGCCCAGCATCTACATCGGCCAGCATCTCCCTTGCCCAAACGCCTCAGCGCCACAAGCACAGGACAAAGATCCATGACACCATGAGAAGATATGAGAAGCCTAGAATCTCTAGAGCGCCAAGCCGAGGGACGATCTCCAACTGCAAAACGCGTGGATGTACTGGGGGAATCGCTTGAGACTGCAGTGCCGTTCAGGGCAGCCTGTTCCTGGAATGTTGACATGCATATACAAGTCGACCACGCAGACTCCGGCTGACAAGCACAAAGCTTTGTGTTCAGGCAGCTGCCATTTCGAGTTGTAGAAGCTCTTCCTCCAGCTGCTGCAGCTCCTCGTCTTCGTCCGACTTGGATTGAATGGCCTCGTCATTGCTGTTGTTTCAGCAGATTTATGAATGATGAGTTTCGCCCATGGGCTGCAGGTAACGCATTGTGGCATGGTGCCACAGTGCCACGTATTTCCCCCCGGCCAAAAAAATCGCCTGCCTGGTCTGGCACACTGTCCGGACCATCCTTTATCTCCAACTCCGGCACAGACTCCTACAAACTCTAGAAGTGGCCTGTTGCTCGCATTTCTGCGAAATGACATGAAGCACTCCTCTGCAAAAACCCGCTGCTTCAAGGCTCTGCACATGGCAATGCGCTCTGTCTGCGAATGCTTCGCTTCCGATGCATCTATCTGCTGGCCTGGGCAAGGAACGCTTGTGATCGGGCAACTGCAAGAAAATTGAATTCGAGTCCATGCTGCGACGAGCTGCGACGAGCTCCAACATCGCGAACCAACCGGGCACGATCAGCACGCCCGACTGCAAGTGTCTCGATGTGCTCCAGCGCCGTCTTTGCCTCTGCGTATCGTCCTTCGTGGGCTCCGTGGGCTGACAATTTTTGGAGTCCGCAGCGTCTGAAACACCATTCATTGCTTTTCGTACTCTCTGTAGCTTTGCAACACCAAGAGTCCTAAGCCTTCCAATGCGCAGGCACGCCGAAACCATGCTTTGTGGTCCTGCTCGCATCTACTTGGCAGATGCACCAACCACAAAGACCGACAGGTGAAAACTGGCCTCATCGTCTATCGAAAGGGCATCGTCTGACGCTCGCAGGGCGTCTGACCAATGCCCAAGTCGGATAGCCGCCTGCACATGCCCATTGAGCCAGACTTAGACTCACGTCTTGACCACATCTTGCACTGTGGGCCTGCGCTATGTTCTTGAGCAAAATGCAGTGCAAACCGTTGACCATTGTATTTCCTTGCAGGCGAAACTTTGTTTCCAAGGCGACCGCATACAGTCAAGGCAAGCTGATATCATCCGATATCTGTCCTGCATCTCCTTCGGGTAGCCTTTTTCGGTACAGATGAGCTTCTGCTTCGCACCAGCTACGAAAGGCTTCCTCGACGGCACCTTACATGAGACGAGATGACACGAGAAGCCCATCTGCGCGTCATCTGCAAAGTCACACCAAAGAACTTGCAAGCCTTTGGCACCTTCGTGCCACTCGATGTACCCATCTTTTCGGAGCTTCTGCGCCTGGTTCATGAGCTTCGCCATTGTGTCGGAATCCACGACCACTGGCGTTGATCGCTCTTCCTCTTGCTTGACGTTTGCGTTTGCTAGCATTCGGTCCTTCGCACGTGCCTGTCGCAAGGATGCACTTTTCGGAAGAGAGAAAGAGAGAGAGAGAGAGAGAGAGAGAGAAAAAAAAAAAGAAAGACAACAACACCCCACAGCCGATGGGTTCTTCTCAACTGCCATCTGGAGTGCACTGTACTCTTCGAGCAGCTGGTCTGCTGCTTGAGGACCGCCCTCTTCAAGCTTGACTCGCAGCGACTGGAACTGGTGCACCTGAGGCTTCTGCATTGTGCTGGCATGTGCTGGCCACACGCCGTGGTCTTACTATCAGTCTGAGCGCGCGACCTGGTCTGGTCTCTGTAAAACTTCACTTAACGGAAGCTGCTGCGCACGGGCCAGTCTCAAGCTGCTTGTCAACGCAATCTCCGTGATCTTGTATTTCCTCAGTACATGCTCCGGGCGGGAAAATGACGGTAATGTGCACGCCACCCGAATGCAAAACATTGGCGCTGTGCGACACAGTGCAGTACAAAAGTCAAGATGGGCATAACCTGCCGCTTGATACTCGGAGGGCACGCTTCCAGTTCAGAAGCCAACTCTTCGCGCACAATGTTTGCCAGCTCAACTTGTTCGTATTGACGGAGCCAGACGTTGCGCCGCTTCATCCAGTGCTGCTCAGATCTGAGAATGGCCTTCGCATACGGCTTTCGGGACGCGTTGTCCCAAAATTCTTGGTGTGTCTCGTCCAACAGAAGATTCGGGTTGACCCGTGGGTCGACTTTTTCAAGCTCAAGTTGTTCCAGCATCCACTCTCTCGTCCAATGGTCTGGAATCTTTGGATATCCCAGAGCGTCGAACTCTTTCTGGGACATATGTCCTTGGAGCTCGGGTCATTTGAAGAGTTACAGACAGTTCATGGGGATGTGTTTAGCCATCTCTCGTTCCGGCCTAGATCCCGGCTTAGCTCTAGACCTTGCAGTAGACCCGTGTTGCATCAGGACACCCTGAAAGGGGCCCATGTCGGCGGCCGCAGAAGCAGAGCCGTCATCAACGCGATCCACCATCACCATGGCTACTACCGGCTACTACCGAATTGCGGATGCCAAGTCTTGCCTAGGGAACACTTGTTGCCATGAATCTGAGCATGTGCGAGCGCGGAACCTGCGCGAGCTCTTGTCCACAAGCTGCTTTGCTGGAGTGGGCAATTTCGACCGGTCATCCAAGGCAAGAGCAAAAAAAACACGTCTGTGCTCACCTCCACAAACCGAAGCTCCTGGCCTTTGGATCCATTGGCGCGAGGAAAAGGCAGAACCACAACTTTTGGGCAACTGGACTCCTCGAGACTTTTTGAATATATATGTCTTAGGAAAACGACCCTGCCTTACCATAACCTGGCGTTTTTCCCTACCTCAGACCTCAGGTTGCAGTAAAAGAACACAGATGAGTTGCTTTTAGCCGATGTTTGCCAGACTCACCCACTCATGTGACCAGCAACATGTGAGCTGGGCTGGGCCTCAGAAGCCAGAAGCAACTTGGAACACAAGTTCACAGTGGACAGTGCCCTGTTCACACTCGCACACTCACGAAGAAAATTTAGCTCACAAGATCTCACAAATCGTGTAACTGCACGCAACTGGCACACGTCCTGCGCAGCCCTAGCTGACAATAAAATATGCACCGACGCTTCAGCAGAGAAATGCGTGCTTATTTTCAGCGATGCCAGATGCCAGCTACTCATACTCTGGCCCACGCATTCGTTTAGCTTCTTGTTCCAACTCCTTTCTCCGAAGATCCTGTGGAAGCCGTCGTCGCATCACTGCTCCTGCGGTGACTGCATCGGGGCCAAACCATCTCTTCATCAGCCATTCGAATGCTGCAGGGAAGGCGGATTGCAGAATGGCGTTGGCCTCTCGGGCTGTCATTCTAGACTCGCTGAATCTGTCCATGTGTGGCATGAGGTTTGTTCTGCTCGGAGCTCCGACTCCAAACTCAATGCGGAGCGGCTGTTCGACACTTTTTTGGCCTGGGCGGAACTGAGGGCACAAGGATTCTAGTACCGGTTTTGCCCAAGCTGGTGCTTTGCGAGGGCCTTCGGTAACCGCAAACTTTCCGCACGACTTCCGTGATTCGGCGTGAGCGATCACAAAATGCTCGGGAGAACGAACCCCAACATACTTGAGACATTGCTTCGCAGCCATGGGCGCAGATGATGACCCCGCAACCGAGTCGTGCCAAAGCCTGCATAGGACAATGCCACTCCCATGTTCTGCGAAATCTGCCAGTGCTGCACTGGTTGGGCGCCACGGGCCAAAACCATGAGCTTCTGCGACGTGTTCCACAAATGCACGGCCAACATGAGCTCTGAGAAAGGGAAACTCTGAGGATAGCGAGCCGCCTAAGCCAATGACGCAGCGCTGCACCATGGCAAAATTCCAAAGCTGAGGCGAATGGAGGCCAACTCAAGAGACGTAGGCTCTGCTCTAACTTTGCGTCTCCTGTAGGTAAATCTTAACTAACAGTGCACATACTCGAAACACCTGGTGCCTATGTTCAAGCTCCGGCCACATTTTGCGGTTCATCAGTGGCAAGGTTTCCAAGCCTAAGAGCAGAGGACGAAGAAGATGGCAAGCACCTGCTCTTGAATAAGTCGAATAAACGACATGAAAAGCGCAAGACTTGGAGAAAGTCTTGATTCTTGGATTGCTCTGGCTTGCCTAATCCCGATCACAGGGAAAAGAAAGGCTGACTCCGGCAAAAAGTTCCTCAAAATGAGCCTTGAGGCAAACAAAGTAGGCCACGACGCTTCGCCACATGAGGTTCATACAAACTTTTTTCCTGAATTAAGCCGGCAGAGCAGTAGCGGAACCACGGCACCGCGGAATCGGACTGAGATGTCCTCGCTGGTCTCTGCACTGCTGCAAAGGCAGCTATTCAGCCTGCCAGATTCAAAAACGTGGCCAGCACATGCTGTGCACATGCTATGCACATGCTGTGCACATGCTCCACACGCGCTCCGCACATGAAGGCCTGCAAGGGTAGCGGGGTCGCAGGGGTGACCTGGCAAAAGCACTCCACCAGACATCGCAAATGCCAAGATCAAAAAAGCCAGCAGCATGTTCTGCAAGCGTGAGCAACTGCTGTCTGCTCCTGCTGTACCCGCATGCTGCCTTCGGGGGTGGGAGAACACCAAATCGAGTCGCCTCAGACAAGTTACGGTACCCTGCACTGTAGCCTACTGCCCTGCTGTCGGCAAACTTTGGAACTTCTGGGGTGGCCGCTGCACCTTTGGCTGGCGAGTCCTTTCAGCGACCAGTGAGAGACATGCAGCATGCAGCAGCCATGCAGCAAAGTCGCCTGAAGTGCATGAGATCCATGAGACAGCTGTGGGCCCTCTGGCAAATTGCCTTGGTCTGGCCATCACAAGTTGACGAGCTGCATCTCATGCAGACTCCGCACAACTGGGGGCCTAGGGACCGGGCCCAAGAAGGTTGAATTATGGCCTGGACTTCCTGCGTAACTTTGGAGCGGAATGTGGTCCCAGCCACTGAAGATCACTGAAGTCGCAGAAACCGCGCCTTTTGAATGCGCCGAGGAAGGCGCCTATAAGCTTCTGAGCAAGATGCGCTAAGCCACTAAGCTGTGTTTCAACTGCTCTGTCTTCGTTAGTCTCTGCCGACCTTTGGAGAGGTTCGAGTCGGTGAGTCCGACGGTCGCCAGAGAGTCTGAGAGCGCTTACATGCAAAAGATGTCCAACTCTGATGTCGGAGCACGTGACGTTCCCTGGCTAGCACCTCATCGGCAGAAGTAGGTCCTGAAACTTTCGTCTGGCCAGCACCCCGAGCCTGACACATCTCATCGCAACTCAGTTCAAAATCCAGCGTGTCCAGGCGCTAAGGTGATCTGAGCACCCGCACATCAGGTGGAACAGGTGGCAAGCCAAGGGGTTTCGACGAGCTTCCGGGATCTCAGGCCACGGGACTTGAGGGAAAGTTTGCTGTTGCTCATTAGTTTCTCCAACTTTGCTGACGTCGTATCTAATCTCTTGGGTTTGGATCTACTCCAGTCGTGCACGATCGACGTTCCAGTAAACCTGTCTCTGAGCTCGCTGTCCACGGCTACGCTTCAGAAAAACCATGTTACTGCGGCTTCCTAATGGAACTGTCTTCCTCACTGTCATGAGGACTGGGGTTCAGACTCCCTGGCTCTCCCACCTGTTGCTGCTGATGCAGATGCTTCCGGTACACATTAAACTCACTGGCCTGCTCCCAAGCAGCCACCGGCCAATCAGGTGTCGAGCAGCCTGGGCCACGTCAAGGATGAGCCGACTGTTGCCGAATCCAACAGCGATTCTGAGAAAGGCTGGTAAGATGAATCGAGGCGTTTGCTGTCATTGTTTGAAGCGCCATGCCTTGGAGATGCCTGACACTTCGAGGAAAGCAGAAAGCCACCCTCCCCCCCCCCCGGCCCGGCGACAAACTGCAACTCAGCACACCAGGCGCCTGCTCTATTTGGGTTTGGGATTACATGCGTAGGTGCCTGCGTCCCGATGAAGCTCGGCACTGCATTGGAAGCTTTTGAGGCCTGAATGACTAGCGAATGAGAAGTACACTCCGCACTGCTCGGGGTGGTGGATTCTGTATTTTGCGAAAAGTCTTTTTTCACGGTGAATAAGAATTCGTTCGTGCAAAATCATGTTTAGACTCACTTTCTATATCAGAAAACATCTGTTTGATTGCTATTTTGTGACTGCAACGGAACTGAACTTGTTGAGTTGCTCGCTGGCGAGTTTTGATATTTGACTGCATCTAAATTGCGATTTGTTTAACAGTCTTACTCATATATCTATATGTATGTATATCCAAGTAAGCCATAGTATTAAGATGTATTCTGTACAATGCGTACCTAATTTCAATTTCGTGTTTTGAAGTTACGTCGTCTCTAGTCTCGTCATTTTCCAATCATGGTTTGGATGACAATCTTGGTCATTGAGCATTACCAGCGCGAGTCCCATCCAACACCTGACGTCAGCAAAACTGAACGGCTGGCGAGCAAAGTCACGAGCAATCGAGACGCCAAAGTAATATAGTTCTGCAAACATGTGCAGAAATTCGGCACTGGCAGTCACGGCTGAGGCCAAGCCCTATGAGCCCTCTGAAAGCTCTGACTTCTACATTCTAGCAGTCTGGCAGAGCAGGGCCAGCGAGGTGTACACAAACTCTTCTGGTTCCATTTCTCAACCATCTCGGAGCCAACGCATTTCTTGAGTTTCTCTGCACTTGTGATTGCCGCTCGGCCCACCATGAGCGTCATCCTGTTCTCACCCCGACAGCCCAGCCCAGACTTCCACAACAATTTCAGCCCTGAGGGATACAGCGAATCTACAGTGGTGGGACCTTGCCAAGCGATTCATACAGCTTCCGTCGGTTCCAACTTGATCCAGCATTCATGTAGTCAGAAGTAGGACATGATAGGGTCGAATGTAGGCTCGCGCAGCAAGGAACACAAAGCACTACCTGATGTGCAGCAACGCCTGCTGTAGCTCTGCCACGTCAGCCTCGCCTCGCGCAAGCTACGTTATGCGCCTCCTAACGAACATAGACTGCAAAGCTGGCATGCGTACTGTAAGGACAAGGCAGCGCGAAAGTCTTCCACTGAGCTGATGAACCTTGTGCCGGGACTTGGGCGGCACAGCAAGAATTGACATGCGGGGTTTCACGGAGGTTGGGATCGGCGTCGGATGTCATACTCAGAACCTTCCATTCCACCGCCAGACAACCCAAGCGCCCGGTCATTAACACACGACTTGCACTCAGAACGCCGTGAGAGACGATTGCCTACTGCTGTGCACTGGGCCTGCTTTCGAGAATCGCTGAGCTCTGCGAAGAACTGCAGCCGTGAACGTGCGTGAAGAAACAACCATGGCATCCAAGACATGGCTTGTTGACGCAACTGCCGCCTGTAGCACACATTGTTGCCTAGGCATACATAAAGTTCAAATAAAGTTCTGCCAGCAGCCTGCAAAGGCACGTCCTGGAAGTGAGCAAATGCAAACTGCTGCAACCCGCATCACGCGCCTGAACTCGAAGCTCGTCCAACATACGGATGAGGTTAGGCTGGTCGAGTGCCTTCGACTCCTTACATTTGCGCCGTTTCTGTGCTCATCAACCACAACATGGCCCCCAGTCATGCCAAGAAACGTTTGAGCCACCTCGATCTCTGGGCGAAAGCATTGGTGACTTCGCCAAATCTTCCTCGAGTCGAGCAATCCTCTTTTGCTGCCGTTCCTTTTCCTGACGTTGCACGCTTTGCAGCTCTCCTTCCACCACAGCTAGGCGATTCGCTAGAGAAGACGATGTGGAGAAGACGTGGGCATGAGCATCAGTAGAAGCCTGTGCACGCTGCATGGCGGTCTGCGCCAGCCTCTGTGCCGCATCCTGCAACTCTGCCAAATGCTGTTCCCGCTTTGCAGCCTCCTGGCGCAAGGCCTCCTGGCCCATGGCCACATTACTTTCCTGTTCTTGCAAGCGCTGCTTCAGCTGGCTTGCTAGCTCCTTACGTTGGCCTGCCTCAGCTTGACACATGTCTCGCAGCTCCTGCATTCCTGTATAGTGGGCTTTCCAATGCTGCTGTACCTGCTGCTCCAGCTGCTTCTCCAGCTGCGGCTGAACAAGTTGCTCCAACTGCTGCTGAAGAATTTGATGCAATTGGGAGGAAAGCTGCTGCGAAAGTTGCTGCAGCAATGTACTCTCCAGGTGCTGCTGCATCTGGGGAAGCAACGCTTCGGGTCCCAATGTCTGCAGCCTTGATTCAAATTCTTGTCTGTGCGTTTCGAACTGCCTCTGCAAATTCAAGAGCCCATCGGAATGAACCCGCGACGCTGCTTGGCCCTGGAACTGGAGGAACTCTGATCTTTGTTCCTCCACTTGGCGAAGGACTTTCTGCTGAAGATCCTGGAAATGCTTTTGGTGCGTTACTTGAACGTCCTGAATTCTTGCCGGCAGATGCCTTTGCGCAGTATGCTCCAAGTCGGTCAACTTGTTGTTGAGACTGCTCTGTGCCTTCTCAACACCAACCACCTTGGACTCCAGGAAATTGAGCCTGGCAGCAGTGTCGCCGTCACTGGTCCGCAGTCGCAGGTATTCTGCAGCAAGCGAATCATGATTAGCAGCTTCCTCCACCTGAACCTTATGAACAGCATCACGGAGAGCTATCTGGTGAGCAGTAAACTCTGCAAGCTGGCGGTCATGTTCGGCCAAGCGTTGCGACAGCTCTTGTGACACATCTTCGATAACACGCACGAGTCTACCCTGCGCATCGGCCACAGCCTTGACATCGCGGGCCAGAAAGTTAGCTGAGGAGCGGTCGGAGCGCTCTAAGCGCTCGTTCAAGGGAAACGTGGAAGCCTCCAGGGGTCTACGAGAGCTGCTCCGCGAGGGGTTTCGTGGGGAGGCCAAGGCTGCCGAGCTCTCTTCTTCCAATCTCCGCCCTCGAGGCCGCGTCTCGTGGTAGAGTGCCATGCGCAGCTGGACCGGTGCAAGATTTCTGCTTTTAGCACAAGTCCAATGTGCCCGGTCAATCACAAAGTGCCGAATGCATGGCAGGGCGCTTGTACCAAGCAGTCGATGTAACACATGAGTTTAATGGGGCAACCAGAACACGGTTTAGATGGTATGCACAGGTGGGACAGTAGCTTGCTTGCAAACTCTTTGGTGCCATCCATCCCTACGACATTCCATGGTCCGCATGCAAAATGCCTTAGGTAATTCGTCGCTACTCTCAAAGCAAGCAGGAGTTTGCGCATGGGCGCGGAACTGTCATGTGTGAGATCTGCCGAGAATGCACACGACCCTGGCACTGGAACGCGCCTAACATAAACAATGCTAGCAGAACGAAGACGAACCAAGAATATGGATCATGCCAACACTGATGGAACAGATGAGCAAAACTAAGAATGCTTCCCAAGGATTAACAAAAAAGCTGGCACCTTTTGCATCTACCTCTGATCATCGGACATCTCGGGAGGACCGGCGCTTTACGATCCCCTACCTGTACATTGTATACTCACTATAGTCAGTTCAAGAAGCCGCGCTACATGAAAGGTTGTGAACTTCTTTGGAAAGGTCAAGTGCAAGATGGCCACAGCTGGGACTCACTCAGCACAGCGCGCCTGCTTTGTGAGGCTTGAAGTCATGGCCAAAAGTCGTGAGATCTGTCGGCTTTCGTCCCCCAAAGTCGTTGCAAACTGCTTCCGGTACATGCCCACCATATCCAACCACTTCCTGGTGGAAGATCTGCACTATGTTGGTTTTGTCAACTGACCTGGCTTGAGCCCTTGCGACGCGGAGCTGGTGCTCACTGAAGCCTGGACAGCTGGGAGTGACACCCTGGTAGCCTGGGATGTGGAAAGTACCTTTCGTCGTCCCAGCGGTCAGGTCGCTTTTGAACACCGGCATTTTGTCTTCCCACGGCGAGATCTTCTCCCGTGGGTTCGAGCCATGCCTTCCGAAGTCTGCCGTGTGACCGCTCAAGTCCAGCACTTTGCTGATACAACTTCGTGGTGTTGCCACCACACGACGGGCCAAGATCTGCTGCGCCGTCAACTGAGGGGTGGGCCTTCGGGTCATGGCTTCGCAAGAAGTATGGCGATATTCAGAGCACCAATGGGCTCCTGAACTCGCAGCCCGTGTTGAGCACATGCGGCCGTCGTTTGGGCCGTAGCCATTACCCCTTGAGCCGTGGACTTGTGCAAACACATTGCACTTGCAGAAATATTGAGGCATCAGGCAAGAAACTGTGGTATTTGTGAGAGCTTCCTGTAGCATTTTTGCAATGTGAACACGTGCCATGCAGGAACAGAGATAGCGACGGCGCGACGTGATAGGAGCATGATGCGTTGCAAGAAGTTGGGGACCGCGGTCAGGTGGTTACTTGTAGCTTTTGCCAGAATTGGCAGTTCGAGCTTGCGGGAATACGACAACCCTTCAGATGAGTTCAGAACAGTGGTCAGCCACCGCTTTGTCGCGGGCTGGTAGCCCTGCTGGCGTTGTTGCTGGTGCTGTGCTGTCGCGCACTTTCCCATCCGAACCTTAAAGCCCCACAAAAAGCAGATGTACCCGCAAGCAGCAAACTCTAGGATCAGGAGGTCTCAACAGATCGCACACACGCAAAAGACCACAGCAACCACGAACATTGCCTGCACGTCGTCTTTTGCTTGTCCAGCTGCACAAGAGAATACGCGACTTCCTGGTGTCAACCCACCTGGCCTATCAGAACCCAAGCTGAATGGAGGCAGACACAACAAGCGGAAGGAAAATGCCCAGCAACTCGAAGACACTGTGACCGGCGAACATTAACTCGAGCACTGCTTCACCATTTCCACAATACCGCAGCGGATGCATGCCAGCGAGATTGGCGAAAGAGAAGTGAAACAAAGACATGTGATTCGGCGATGCCATCGACTTCTCGAAACTGAAAAATCTGCATTTAGATTAGGGCTATGCCTGGGGACGTTATCCCACAACATGTGCTTCGTCGGGTCAGTCAAAGCTGCTCGCTTGGCGGAGCTTCGACAATCTGAAGGCATATCTTTCGCCACAAACTTCAGGAACTTTCGACGATCCTTGCTCTTTCCAAGAGAAATCTACCACGCTGGCAACTCCTGATTCGGAGACCAGCACAAACATCCTGAGTCCTCATAGTGCGGTATTCGCAATTCGTGGGCACTGCTTGTGCCATCGCAGCGAAAGCTCTTCGCTTCTTGCTTCAACCTCCGGCTCCTTCCACCAACTCGACGATGCCTTCCTCAGTGGCAGTACACCAGGAAGCTGGCGGCAATCGGCCCTCTATGAAGTGCAAATAAGACACGGTGTTCAAGGCATTGTTCTTGATCCGAACTGACGACACCACCCTTTGCACAGGAGCAGTCGGTATTGTCGGAAGCAAGACAACGACGGCAAAGCAAACTAAATGCACAGATCGCACTGCATGTTTCTCTGTGCAGAAAAGCTGCTCTCGCAGTTCTTTGCCTAGCGTTGCTTACAAGTTACGCACGCCTGCGTACTTGGACATTGTGCACCCGGCCTCCCTTCCAATCATTCCCAGCTTTCTTTATAATAGTTACCAACGGGGCAACATTCAGCTGGTACTGGTAGCCTCCACCTCATCACAGGACAGCCTCTTGACTGTGGCCATGCTTGTGCTCAGCTGAACTTCAAATCCTTTAGGATGCGGGCTGTGCGTGAAAGCCAGAGTCCTGCGTGCCTTCCTGTACAGGACCGCAAGAGCCTCAAGGCGACGAAAGGGCTCTCTCAAGGCCTTGAGACGTGCATTTGGCATGCTGCGGTGTGCCTACAGCGGGTGTGCCTACAGCGAAGTTCGCATGTTTGGGGGGAACATGTTCTTTTCGCACCGCAATTGCCCCGGTGACTGCACGTGACTGGTAAAGGCCCAGAAATGCGTTTGGATTATCCTTGCTTTGAGTTGGGATTCAACATCCTCCTTTTAGGAATGCGGGCGTTTGGGATGGGTCCGAACACTGCTTGGAAGACAGGATACAGTAAGGCATTCCTCTGCCCAAAACGTTGTTCTTGGGGGCGGTCTTGGGGGGCATTCTCGGTTTTGGAGCTTGAGGGTTCAAGGATTTTGGGGCTTTAGAGTTTGTGGTTGTAGGGTCGGGGGGCTAGGGCCTTCCAAACTCGAGTCAACCGCCAGCTTTGTTTTGCACCAAAGCATCCTCAGCCGCAACCTACTGGAACCTTCACTAGGTTTGCCCCGTAGACTTTTTTGAAAACCCTAAACCCTGAAAGGTGTTCCAAAACAGATCCCCCCTCTCGGTCCAAAATAGGCATATCCCAAGGGCCTACCTAGTGGATGGCCCTTAGAACCCTCTGAGAAGTATTCCTGAATATGATCCGCTTAAACCCAACAAGGGAAATATTAAAATGTTCCAAGGGCCTACCTAGGTCATTTGGCATCGAAGGCGTGGAGAGTTCTGCCGTTTGAGCAATGCTGCTGCCTCCAAATCTCAGAACTTAGGGTTGCAGTATTGGAGGGTTGTTTTGTTTAGGGGTTAGGGTCTAGGGTAAGGACTCATCCAGGGCTCGCGGTTTGGGCACTCACCCGAGAAGCAGCTAACTTCCAATCGGTGGTTGGATCGTCCACTCTGGGCACTTCGCGCCGCAAGGACGCCCACACCCCGCATGTGGCGAGTTTGCTCGTGAATGTCTGTAGCACCTCCGCCTGCGGCGATGTCCGCAGCCCCTAGACTCTAAACCCTAAACCCTTTTTTTAAGACTGGAACTGAGGCCAGCGCAGCTGAACCCTAAACCATAAACCCTCAACTGCTGTGTCAACCAAGACTATAAAGACTCTGCGGTGGCATTCTTCAATGCAAACAGACAAGAAAGACTCTGATCAAGCTGCGAGACAGGTCCAGTCTCGCGCTAGTCGCACAAGGCAACGTTCCCTGCATTTGAATTCAAGTTCGGCAACGAACTGCCCCTTGAGGTATCAGCATCTGAGCACTTGGAAGTTAGCACCTGGACATATCTAGACTCTAGACCCTACTGACACTTGATCTCAATGGTCAGATACCCCTCGAGGAAAATCAAGCCTAATGAATTCTGAAAATGCTGCTGCCAGCTTGCAAGTATCCTGTCGCCAGGAAATAGCGATATGGGACTGTTGATGTTGTTTGCCGCACCACGGTACTCCAAGCTGTCCTAAACGCAGACCTACCTCTTGAAATGGCGGGCCTCGCAGCTTAAGCTTAAGCCTTCTAGCATTCTTAGATCGAGATGCTACGACCCTCACCGGACAGCAATCATGCTCCTTAGGCTGCGATGAGCTGACGCTCAGAAACGGCCTATTTTGTCTTTTTCTTTGTGAGACTTGCGTAGCTCGGAGGGGGCTTTTGTAGAACCGGAAGCAGCCGCTTTGCGCGGGAATGGAATGTCTGCCCCCAGCTCCCCCTGGTGGCTGTCAACTACAGCAAGCTCAGAAGGGGATTCTTAGGGTAGTTCATGGTCCCTTACCCTCAACCCTAAAACTAAAACCCTAAACCCTTAGAGGGATGGCTCCCCGAAACTGAGCCAAGAAGTGCAGAAGTTGGTCTCGGCTTTGGGGCCTGCAACGCTGCGCCACGAGCCTGAGCAATGTCGTGAAGTTGAAGGAGGCACGACCAAGACGACGTTGCAGGTGACCGAGCTGCTCATCTGACTTGCTGCGATCCTAGGTTGCTCAGTAACCTAGGATTAAGAAGGGTGCCCCTTGACCCCCCAAAATTGGAATAAGGGTATTACTGGGCATCCCAGGATCTATGGCTCGGTAGCTGCGGGCAAAGTCCAGCTCGACTGCCAGAATGTTGAAGATGGGCTTGACGTCGAAGTCGGAGTTTGCCCTTCTGCCAAGTGTTTCCAAGGGCCGCCAGGTGACCCGCAACAGGTCCAGAACTGTCAAGGCCTGCAGAGCTCGTCGATCTTGCGGTCGGAGCTTGTGTTCCGGGCCATGTGCAAGGTGGCAAAAGCTGCAATCATGCCCCTGGGCACAGAAGCCCCTGTGGAGTCGCACACACGGCCGAGAGCACAGATGAGGATGGCCCATGCTCCCGACGCTTGGCCATACACCTCCGTCCTCAGCTGGTGAGTGCGATGTAGGGCTCGGGTGTCGAAAGGCATGCGGCGCTTTCTCAACATATGTCGGCTTGAAAGAACTTGGCTCGCTCAAACACCTTGTCATCCTGGCATCTCCAAGCCCAGATTCCGGGTTCTCAGGCACTGTACCTTCGAGAAACGTGAACCGGGTGCGGATATGCATTCTGCTACCTCGGGGCACGATACTGCCAAGGGAGTCACGAAACTCCAAGTGTAGACTTGAGCCGTGTGGTTGAGGGAGTCTACAATCTACAAGCTAACTCCTAAATCCTAATCCGCAAACATAACTCGAAGCATCAACTAGGCCTCAAACGCTTAAGTCTCTCGCCCAAAGACACTAACGCAAGAGTCATGCGACAAGCCTTTTCTTAAGCTCGACTTTGAAACGAAGTCGCTTTTCCAACAGCCCACAAAGCTTATTATATCTAAGCCCTAAACCCTAAATTCTAAACCCTATTACAGTAAACTCCACCCTGTGTGGAGCACATGCACTGAGCTCCGAGCCTCGAGTGCATGCCTTACGTTGTTGCCTGAGGGGTCTACAAGATCTTCGCCCAAACCCATCCTGCCAAGAGTGTCGGGCACAACGCACTGAAACACGAAGAATTCCGTGAGGAGCAACACGGAGCAACACGGAGCAACACGGAGTGAAGGCCTCAAAAGGTCAGGGCCGTAGTACAGCATGATCTGAGGGCCCACAGGACTGCCGGCAAACTCCTTCAAGACAAACAAACACAACTCGACGCATGTCGAAAAGAAAACACAAATACTCCTGCACCAGCTGCTGCATCTCCTCAAGCAGTAGCTCGGTCACCTGTCCAGCACATGATTCGCATCTGTGTGGCAAACAGCCTGACACTTTTGGTCTTGCACTGCTTATACACTCAGAGCACGCATTGCCTTTGCTGCATTCTTGTAGCTGTTCCGCGTCATTGCCAACACCCGCAGCGTGGCAAGCCCAGTCTCGTGACAAA